TCTAAAAGTTTAACCCATTCCCTTTAAAATCGAGAAAAACTGCCAAAAAAAAAATGATATATTTTTCAACTAACCAATAAAATAGTCAAATAAGTTCCAAATTTGTATAGCATATTCTTTAGGTATAGTACTACCGCTAAACATTGACAAATCAAAAAAACATTATAAACTCTTTCTCCAACCTAGGGTGGAAACTTTTTCTTTATTACGCTTTTTAGGTGAAGTTTTAGGGTTCAAGGTCTGAAAATTAAACTATATACTATAGGTTCTGTATCAATCTGTAGTCAAACTTTTTTTAGTAAGGAAAAATTACACATTGACCGTAGTCAATTTCTAAGTTGCTAGGTGTGATATAATCAACAGTCAACATGTATTTAAAAATATTTTCATTATATTGTTTTAAAATTACGATCGGTATATGAGCAATAAGTTATTTTAGTAGGCGGTCAATCGTAAAAATGCTGTATGAGCACATTATGTAATTATAATGCTTTTGTCGATACTTGTATTTCGGTCGTTACAGATTCGCATCAAAGCGTTAATTTGATTTATACTATTTTATCACTTTTAGTATTCATAGTTCTTATAAACCTGTGACATCACCCAATATGCTCCGTTGCCACTATGTCCTGACCTTACTATACTGGCTCTTTTATTACAACCCGATAACAGAACTAGAGGAACAATTACTTCCTTGTCTGCCTAATATCATTTTTATGTTCGAAAAAAAAAATGTTCTTTGAATGTACCTACATAATAAAGGGTGGTGCAAAGTGTAACGATTACATTTCACTTGACCGTTACTTCGCGTCCCAAACCTACTGACACAATACCCCCAACTATAGGTAGGGGTACGGTCGCACACACAGGCCAATGCACGTCGCGTAGCATCTAATTAACCAATTGACTTTACCATCACGGACCGCCAATATCCTTGACCTTGCGCTCTATATTTTTGCCGTTTTACTACAAGCCGCTCATCCGACTATCTTTTGTGTGCGTCCGTTTCAACTCCGCTTTGACCAATCATTTCATCGTCCAACACAGGTCAGAGTATATATATATATATTGTATAATTTTGTATTTTATTTAGCAACCCTAATTTAGAATAAAACATCTTGTAGCCTGCAGCTGAGAGTTAGATTATTTAACAGTGTGACCACCCGTTCTAGCTCCTCGGGCGATATATTAAGTTAATAAGGGAGACTTTAAGGCCAGTTAGACGTAGACAGCGGCCTAGCCAACCGTTTTCCCGTGGGGATCCGTTTATTTTAGCCTTATCGACGGCCACTTTGCCTAGTCTAGCCAGCTAGACAAGTAAGTCTGTTACAAAAGAAACGAACAATTTCCCCAGTGGCGTACATACAATATTGCTCTGCCCCCCCAGAGCAGAGATTGTTTTTTTACAACCCCCCCCCCCCGGGTTGTAAAAAAACAATACTACCTAACCATATGTTTCAAAATGATGAACAACTCATTTCCCACAAAAAAAATTATTATCAATTAAGTGATTTGTTGGAATATTTTTCCAAAAAAAAAGTAAAAACTCGATACTTTGATTTCATTTCAAGAAATAACGAAGTTTCTGGACTTACAGTTCTGAAGATATTTTAATTCTTGCTTAGGTGGCCGCAATTCCCCCACCTTCACCCAATTTAAAAATATGAAATCGCATTTTATATTTTTATCTTTGATAAAACTGTAAATTCCAAATTGAATACTTTCAACAAATAATTTTACTTATACATTTTGTGTTTATTTTGACTATCTTAAACAAGGTGTAAAAACGTTTTTGAAAATGGTTTGAAAAAACGTTTCTTAAATGAAGTTTTGGAAATTTATTTACACGTTTTTACTCCCTGATTTTAAAAGCAATTTTGCATTTGAAATGCATTTTGGTAACATTTTGCCCGTCTCTGATAATATATTAATTAATGAAAATTAATAATCACAATAGTTATTCGCTCTTTCCATCTCCCCATCTTTTACTACTTTTGTACTATTTTTGGTATTGTTTTTAATAAAAATAAATTAAGTAAAAAATAATTATAATGTGTAACACATTATGTGTTTAAAAACGGTTTGAATAAACGTTGGAAATATTTACAAAAAAATGTGGAACGCTTCACGATTTTGCGTGTCATCCTTGCGCAGGGGCCATGCTAATCTTCTCTGTATCGTTCCAATTTTAGTATATGTACTGCCGAAGCAAGTACACTTGCGGTAAACGTGGCATCGATATATAAACGAAGCAATCTGCACCTTTGATCACATGCGAGAAGCCGGTGACCAACGTTCTGTGAACAACTCCAATGAGGCGAGCGCTAAGAAATTGTTGTGATATTTGAATCATAGATGGCGTTACACATTTAACGCACAAAATAACCCGTCAACGTATTGCGGTAGCCACTTTTTATTCCCTTTGTGAGTTCAAAATAAAAATTTTATTAAATTAACAATTATTTTTTCATACAGTGTCACGGCTTGTGTAAAATCAGAACCAGAATAGGGTGTAGATCTGAAACTTTTGAAAAAAATTGAGTTTTTTAAAATTGTTATTTAATTTTTTTGTAAATATAATAAATAATATTTTTGTTAATAGAAAACTCTTCTTGTTATCGTAGAAGTTTTGGACAAAATGTCACAAAAAAAAGAAAATTCCATCATAATAATATTAGGTAAAGTATTTTTTTTTATAGTATAAGTTATAAGTATTATATAGTGTACTGTATACACTATACTAGCATCGATAAATTTATTTTGTGGTGCAACATTGATAGTCCAAGTCAATGGAAACACGAAAATATAAAGCATAGCGTGACAATAGATAATAATGTTCTTAAAAAAATTGTTATCAAAATCAGATAGGTAGACGGTGAAGAATCCGAAACACTAAACCTATATTATTACTCTAAGGTTCAATTATTTAAATTAAGAATAATTTGCTGAATATTTTAACTGGACGAAAACCGGTTTTAAATTATTTCTTTTATAGTTAAAATAAAACTGTCAAAATCGGAAAAAAAAAATGTTTTATCTAAAAACTACAGCGGCGCGGCGTTTAGATTTGATTTTTAATTACATTACCAAAAACAAAAATAGTGTTGAAAAAATTAAAATTAAAATATAGTCATATTTATTTATTTATTAGAATATATACAGGCATGTGCCCTATGATTACAGAAAAATATAATACACAATTAAACACATAATTACATATTTAAAATTATAATAACATTTAAAAACTAAATTATAAAAATAAAAGGCCGATCCCTGCTGTAGTCTTCCTTCAAAAAATATCAAAATCAGACCACTCTACAAGGCTTGATTTTTTGAGCCAGTAAATACACAGTGACAAGGCCTCTTAAGCTATAAGTTAGTGATGATGAATTTATTAGATTATAGACCACAAATATCTTATATTAAAAAAAATACATAGTTTAAACACAACAAAATACATAATATTAATATTATAGGGACAGTAGGAATCGTGTTAATGTACTTCCACTCAGACGCGTCACACTCACATTAAAGGGACAGTACCTACAGACGTGTTTTTTACGCTTATGTGTTTTTGGCTAGTTGGCGTTCCTCTCCTTCTTTGTTGTTGTGTTCGTCCTCATTAATTAAAAATAAGATGATAAATTTATGAATATTTAAAATGATTTATATCATTGTGCATATACTATATTCTGTTGTTATCGTTTCGTCGTTGTCGTTGGTGGTTTTCCTGCCACATTGTTTTTCTTATTAGAAATTAATTCGTACATTCCGTATAAGTTTTTTTGTTAATGTTTTCTGTTATTATTAAAATAACATTAGTGTACAATTAACAAGATAGTTTTCGTGGATTACATATCGATGTTGACACGGCAAAAGGGTCTAAGCGACATATTTCATAGTTTTCAGGATGGCCACCAAACGTTCTTTTTGTGATTTTACTATTTTTTTTTTAAGTTCCCAATAACTTTTTTTTGGTAAGAATTGGGAATTTTTCAATCATATAATTATATTATAATATATATGAATTATCATATATTTTTCTACCAGTAGTGTAAGCCTTGTCGCTTAGACCCTTTTGCCGTGTCACCATCGATATATTTTGTACATAATAAAATCGTTCATCTCAACAACCACGTGCTTATTGCTATTCTTTCTGAGTCAGTAATAATGTCTTTCCCTTGTGTACTTTTTGTAAACCTCAACGTTGTTCATTTTAACTGGCTAACTTCGGAGTTTGCTGTTCGCATAAGTTCTTCTAAATTATCACGAGGCCGCTGAGGTCGTCCAGAGCCCAGCTGTTTACGGTTCACATACCCGAACGCCCGTGTTGTTCAATTTAATTGGTGTATGCGGAGTTTGCTGTTGTATAAGCCGCCAACACGGTTAAGTTAGCCACCAACAACAAAAACTACCAAAAAAAAAAAACAATCAACCAACAACAAGTTGCCACTGCTATTAACCACTACTTATTTATGACGTGTGTATGGTCAATTACTGGCGTGACGCACGATTATTTCATAAACCAAAAACATATTTCCTATGCGGCGTCTATATGGATGCACATAAACACGATTTTTACAAAATCTTTGTGAGTTTGAAAGAAATCTCAGATATTTAAAATTCTAATAGTAGACAAAAATATTGGATTACAAGTAAACTATATGCAATAAGCAACGGAAAAAAATTTCCCCAGAAGTGAATATCCGAGTTTACAGTAGTGGGTTTTCAGGGAGGAAAATTCCTATTAAGGTAGTTCCATACCTTAGTTCTAAGGTCCACACTTATACATATATATAAACCGAATGTGACTAAACAAACCGTTCGCAGGCCATCATGTACAAGTGTTTGACTATAATGTGAACTTAATGCGTGTGGAGATCAGGAAGACTAATTGGATAAACAACAGAATGGATGTCAAACACAAAAAGATCAAACGGTGTTCTAGAGAAAAGTGAGTGATAAAACAGGGTGTTAATATAATATAAAAACAGTAATAGTACAAAGTAAAGATATTTTAATATACTATATAATATTCGTATGTAGTACATGTACCATAGACATATTTATTTAAAACATTTTTAACGTAAGAAACTTAACATAATTATAAAAACAAAACGACAATTAATTTGTTCAAAAATGTTGTCTAAAATGTATAGAGTGTATAAATTAGACGTAATATTGCAAATAAATTTTAGTGTTGAAAGTTATAATTATTTTTTAAAAAAAATACTAAATTTGTATACTAGGACATCAAAACATACTTAATTAAAATAATTATTTTATACCACATAGTACAAACCTAGTAGATAATAATTAATTGATTTCTATAAAAATAAAAGGTGTACAGCGGTATAGATCTCAAACCCTTTGCCAATGGAATTCTAGAAAGTTTTTAACGACAAACATTACCCGTTCTTAAATTTAAACACTGCCTTGACCCAACTGTAGTTAAATTTTTACTTTGCCGTTATTTTTAAGTAGGTGTTAGTTTTCTAAGTACCTATTACCGTTATTTATCGACAGTCAAAATCTTGTGCCGTCTGTTGGCACCGCCTTAATGCAGCTAGATTAAAAGTTGCACTGGATTTATGTGTTATATTAAGTACGAAGAAAACATTATTCATGACGTGTTATGTTTAATGTTCTTACTAAGGGCTTCGCGGTTAGCGGATCCACCCCAAAGTGGAGCGAATATTTTTCGTTCCATTTGTCCAGCGCACTCTTGCCATTTGCAATGCTTGTCGTATGTTGACCTAGTGTACTTGATGGCTTTAATCACGTCTACGTGATTTCTGCCGACTTTTCGTAACAGCCAGTTGACGGCGTCCGAAAGTGTAGCTACCGTGTCATCCGCCAGACCTATTCGCAAGGCGTATTCGGCCGGCACTGGCTTGGCGTCCAAGAGCAAGTCCGTGGCTTTTTGGCGGCCGACAATGGCTAACAACCGGCCGGTAGCACCCCAGGCCGGCACCAAGCCCATTCGGCCGTGTACAAACCCGATGACCGTCGTTCTGTCGTCACACATCAGTCGGTAATCGCAGGCGGTGCTCAGTTCGGCACCACCACCCAGAGCACCTAAAAATAGTACTTGTATTAGTTATTACTATGAATATTATTTTAACAAGTTGACTGCTATGAGTACCGTATTTAGTAGTCGTGTAGAAAATTAGCTCGACAGTTAACTTGTTAGTACACTCTATTTAGTGTTAGTTATTCATAAGTGAAATTTATTGGGGCACGGGGTAAGGGATAGAGCTTATGATTGAGTTCAATACTAGGTACCTAAAATTATTAACTTTACGTACAAATGGAGAATGAGCAAGGTCCAAAGACAAACCTCAAACGTTGAAAAAAAGTCGAGTCAATAAGTAATATACCTAGAACACTATATTATTCTTTAAATATTCAAAGTGTTTACAGACCGCAGACAAGTACTTGTAAGGAGTATCAGGACATTCATTGTTAATAATGCTAATTCTAATATAATGATGCAAAAATTATGGGTATGTAGCATCTTCTTAAAGCGTATAGGAATAAAATGTTGTTTTAAAGAGATCAAAGCAAGCAAAAGATTTGTTTAAAATTAGATTACTCTATGAAGCATTTTTCATGTTACGCAAAGGTTGTGGATTTTTATTGATAACATAGAAAAAGACAACTTAAAAATAATTAAACTGTATGATTACTGTAAGTGGGGACTATCTAAATAATAAAAACATTTTTCAGCCGAGTCTGGAACCACGAAAGATCATTTTCATGTCTCGTTGAAGTACCGAGTAAATTTAGAGTAGTGGTGGACTTATAGTTAATGTACTATATCTTAATTAATAAGCATAACATGCTAGTATCTAAGGTGGCTAGTATATTAAAAAACATATCAAGTTTCTGGCTAATATTTTAGTGTTTAATATCTGGCTTAAAAGAATTCATAAAAATATGACCCCATTCCCACCCTCCTCCACCCCATTCCCACCCCAACCTCATTCCTACTTAGCTTTATCATTATTAATATCATACATCTATGAAAAATGCTTAAAAAAGAGAATTAGTAATTTTTAAATAATAATAATCGTTTTACTAAAAATCAATTTTGCTTTATAACAGGTAGATCAACCGATGACGCATTAATTTATTATGACACTTAAATATATTATTATTATGTAAAATTACCTATGCCGTCTATATAAGCAACGGTGATAAATGGCAACATTTGGAATCTGTTCAAAATTGCATGCATGTACGTAGACATGGCATAACCCGACTCCGGGTTATTTGCCTTCCTCGCCATATTCAAGTCGCCTCCTGAACAGAAATTACCATCTGCTCCGTGCAGCAATGCTCCTTTGCATTTTCCCCACTGTTCCAGCTCGTCCACAATTCCCTCCAAGTCGACCATCATCTTCCCTACACAACCCCAGCTCACAAGTATTAGTCATGTATCAATCGAAATGAATATGTACTTATTGTTTTGTTACCGCTAATAGCGTTCTTAATCTGAGTATAGTTCAGTTTGATTTTGGCAATACAGTTCACTTCGTCCTTCTCCAAGTCCACAGATCCTCCGAAAAATGTTGACATGGTCGCTCTTGCTTCATCTATAGACGGTTCAGGTCCCGCATACAATAGGCAAGGGCAATTCCTGACAGGATTACTCGCCATTTTACTCGTAGAACTTGTAAATCTCGTAGACCTAGAAAAAACCGAGCAGGTAAAATTAATAAAGCATTCATTAAATCAGTACAAGTATTTTAAAACATAATATAAGTATAATTTAAATTTAGATATGGACAAATATTTTGCGAGCTACTTGCTAGTTGCTAACGGGTAAGCGTACGTATGCAAATGACAATACGGAGCGTACTTTGTAGCGCAATGTGGAAAGACACTCACATTTCCCTACCCAGCTTTCCTAATACACTGCTACCAGAAGATAAGTTCCCTTGATTTTTTTTTAACTTCAGTTTAATTTTAACACAATTTTATTACTTCTCTATTTTATACTCGTAATAAATTTAAAAACTTGGAGAATAATTTAGTCATATTCTCCAAGACTATAGTTTGATGTAATGGTCTGATAGAGGCGATATGTCGTCGCGAAATAATTATATTTTACAACCAGCCATCGCAATCGGTAATATATTTTCAGTCTAGTTTTAAATCTGTCCAAGTGTGCACGCGAGTTTGAGAAATTGTAGGTGCAATATGGATAAAAGTATTATTAATAACAACAATATTTTAACTCCTCTTCTGGCTGAGGAAGACGATGAAGATAGAACATTTTCTATCTTGGCGTCAAAGAAAAAAAAACCGACGGATAAAATGTTTTAAATCGTTACAATGAAGGATTTCTTGATTTATTAATTAATTATTTAAAAAACAATGACGTACAATTTTAATAAATAATATGACGTAAATCTTTAATATTGACAACAGCTTGACAGAAAAATTTTAAATTTGTACAAAGTCTATTCTTGACTAGTCTTTTGTCTCCAACATGTTAATTAAATTATTAATATTGTTATTATTTATAATCAATGATTACATGTAAAAGTGGGACGGCGACCGTCGACTCAGCGTCGAGGAAACCGGTCTCTTGTCTGGTGTACAACCGGTGCTTTACAGTTAATTATTTAATACTTCAAACTTGATTATGGATGTTTTCTCTTCGGTTCAGCCTCCACTTCCAATTGGAAAAAAATTTACAAGCTTTTTGACTTAGAAGTATTTTGGGTTATGTTAGATCTACGCCTCTCCCAGCCTTCGAAGTAAAAACTTGCTGTCCTTTTAATATTAGGTGTCGTTGGCTTGCAGGTAAATTTCTTCTAAAATCCTTATCTCAGTCTAATCTTCCAATTTTTGATTTTTTGTACTCTCTGTTTTGACTTGGCGTTATGTTCCAAAATCTCTTGTTGTTATTTTGACACTAATGGAGGTATTATCGAAAAAAATATCATTAAAAATGGACAAAATGTACAAAAAAAAAATTCAAACCCGGAAGGTGATCTACCAACAACGCACGCCGCAAACTTTAAACGTGTTTTTCTCAAAAAATAAATATTTCAGACACCGTACAATGTAACTCGATGAATTTTAATCCGATTGACATGAGGGTCGACGCATTTTTTCCTTAACTTACCGGCCTTTGCGTGAATCTAAAATTGTATAATTTATTATTATTTAACTAATAATGAATACTGGTTTTTAGAAATTTTTTAATTAAAAATAGGTATTTTCAATTAATAGGTCCACGCAAAACGTATAAACGTATTTTAACAAAAAAAAAAAAAAAAAATTGGAATTTGTACTTTAGATAATTATTGTGACCTGCAACCTGCCACCACTTTTAATTTATTCAATGCAATTTTTGTATTATTTTACACCAACTTCCACTCTGATACCCTTCGATGTATCTCAACATATATGATATATTATAATTTATATACGTCAAGTTATTCAATACTTCGAGAAAATCGATTTTTTTCCCAACATTTATTGATTTGTTGGGAAGTCAATTATCTCGATTTTGATCGAGAATTCTAAAAATCGACCTGATGTCGTCGTAATGTCGAAAATTTAAAATTTCCAAGAATTCGTTCACACGTAAAAATAAAAATATACTTAATGATACCTACCAAATTTGTAGACGGACAAAGTCATCTAACGCTTTTCTTATGGTCAAATATTTGTGCATGTTGAATAATAGTTGTTCAGCAAATCACTAAGACCAATGCGAGTTTAGTATGCAGGCAACGATGACTATAATCTATGTAGATAAATGTTAATTATTATCATCAAATTACAAATATATAATAATATAAACGAGGGCAAAACCGAAACCTTTGTGGCAGGGTAAATCAACATAATATTATGATGTCTCAGATATATAATTATACTAATCAAATTAGTGTATATCTCATATCTATGACAAAATCCCACTTTTGAACTGTTGGTTGTCTAAACAGCACAACCAAAGGAGTTAGTTTTAATAAAATAAACAGAAAGCACTGCTAATACAATTATTATTATTTTCGTTTATTTACACTTTCAAATACATTATTGAGACCAAGCCATCCGGTCGTCAGGTAATGGCTATGGTCAGGACGTCAGGTAACAACTATGAACTAAACTAAATCAAACCTATTATCGGATCGGTCCGCGGCCGGGCACGGCACCCGTTATCGGTATAGCCACACAATAGATAACAAGTACATAGTCAATATACAATCATATAACCCTAGGGATGACATTTTCAATCAGGATTTTCAAAAATCTTACTATTTTCATCTAAAAAAAATACTGTAGGTAAAACTATCGACATAAAATATGTTAGAATAAAAAACTCGAAATAAATTAACAACTTTCAATCATAATGTATAAGATATATTTTCAAATACAATGTTGAAATTAAAACCAAAAGAAAACGAATTTGATTGAGTACTTTTGATTTTTATAAACATTTTATTTTTATTTAACACCTGTAGGTATATATAATATACGTTACTATTTAAAAAAAATATAAATATGTATATAATTTATAAATTATATACACAAGTGCAAATTGTATTATTGAGTTTACATTGAGTATACAATATACTATACATTCTTATAGTCTGCTTAGGGCTTCGATTTCCAAAATTCAAACTTTATACATCATGATAACAGTTTGTTATTTAAAAAAAAAAAATTTAACACGTTTTTCAGTATTGTAATCAAAAACAACTATCATAAATCATAATCAGACTAGGTACGACGCGACGAGATTTTTCCCGTTAACTAATTTTTCAACAGTCAACACTAATAAACCGGCTATTATCATAAACGCGAATGAATATAACGGGATAACACAGTTACCACGAATGTTGCGTGCTACGATGTTATGTTACTCCGACATTTTTGTTACGAATGACAATTGCTTCGACGACAATTGACACGAATACATTTACAACGAAAATAAGTTTTCGTTAATTTTTTTTATGCCACGATTTACAGTTACATCGAAGTTCCATTTTTAATTATTGCTACGAATTACATTTACCTCGAATTCCAGTAACATCGACATGACTTATCAAAAAATCTTAATGTTATGATTTCGCTATTTTAAAGGACATTTACATTGATAAACATTATATGGACCTTAAATTCCATTTACACTGACATGACCCAACAACTAATTTATATAAAACTATAAATAATAAATTGATAAACTGTAAAATTGTAATACTTATTCACTCTGTTACTTTATCGATACAAATATAGTATACTTAAGGTCATTTTATCAACTGCTTGTTAAAATAATTTACACTTTATTTAATGTTAATCTTTGTTAAACTAAAAAATTGACTTTATCTATTTGACTCTTTCGGTTAAATTTTAGCTGAATATTAATCACAGTTAGTTAGCATATTATAGTTAGTTAAAAACTTTAAACTGAGAATTGAGATTAGTATCAATATTATCAAGTAATATTTAATTTTACTGAAATATCTACTACCTATTGTTTTATAATACAATATTCCTATAATATTATTAGTTATTTGCTTGCTTTTACACACTTAAAACTTTTTATCGAATTATAGTGATGAGGTATACTTTATGATTGCATGTAACAAAACATAGAATTAACAGTTACATTGTATGTAGTTATTTCAATGTAACTACCAATTCAATTCAAAACGGATGCTTAAATTATAAATATTGTATTACCTACACGTTTGATATAAATTGTATGCATATTTAATTCTAGATGACTGAAATAATTAGATTAGTAGCAGTAGTAGCGACCATAATAGTGACGCAGAAGTTTATTTTTTAGGTTATATTATAAACCAATATTTTAACGAAATTCGAAGACCTTGTTTATTGTCGACAAAAATTGACATAACCATATGGGATGGCCAAGATTTTTTCGCATGTATTCATCTGAGTAAAAACAAGTTTAAAATTGTTCAGCAAGAAGTAACTCAAAGTTAAAATAACATTAAGTGGACAGCAGCGTGTTTTTTATAAAAAAATATTAAGTATAAATATCAAAGAAATAAAAACGCCACCCCATTGATAAAGTGTTTCCCTATACATTGTGAGAGTTTAGTAAATCTACCCCTTTAAGGGGTCGGAGCACAACTAGTTTTCATGCGTTTTAGCGGTGCTTAATTAGACATAATTCTCGATGTTGGATTTTAATTTTTAAAGTATGTGTGGATTTGTTGTCAAATTGTCTGGGTTTCTTAGGAAGCCCATTTTTTATTTAAAATGTTATGCCTAAAATAAATTCAAATGTAATTCGGGAATAAATTATCATTGAATTTTCAAAAAAATAATTTTGGAGATCTTCAAAAGAGAAAATTGCAAATTGCCTTCCTAAAAAACCTAGAAAATTTGTCGAAAAATGCATACATATATTAAAAATTAAAATCCAACATTGAGAAGTATGTCTAATTAAGCACCGCTAGCAGATGATATTTACCAATATAAAGTTAACAACATTTTTATTTTAACGTTGTAACTTACTTTAATTAATAATTATTAATAAATAAACCTTCTGTTTGTAAAACCCACTTTACTTAAGCTAGGATTAAATTTGATTGATAAATTCAGAATTTTTTTAATCTCCGATTAATCTTAAACCGATATTAGATAAACGACATTTTAACCGCCGAATGATAAAATTGTCCTTAACACTATATTGAAAATGTATGTTTTTTAATAATAATAACAATAATGTATTTATAATAGTAATAAATTTACGCTAATGAGGCAATTTACAATTTGTTTACAACAAGTTTTACAATAATTTATTTAAATATGTACAACAATATGCAATAAACTTGACAAATTATTTACCAATTACAACTAAATGTGTAGAGAAAAATAAAATAAGTATAAAAAACTTGTAGAGTTAATAGAAGACTATAAATAACAAATGTAAATAATAAATAAGCTAAGTTAAAAGTGCTTATTGAGAGCACTCAAAAAGCCAACATTTTGAATTGAATTACACGAGTTATAATTCGGTTTACTGGACCGAGATAAATTTGTCGTTGTGTAGAAACGTAAAATTGCGTATAAAATCGTAAACTAATATTTAGTACAATAAATGAATCCAATCATCATTTTTCAGAACAGTCTTATATTTATATAATTTATGATATAGTTATTTATTTATATGATATATTTAAAAATATATCATTTAAATTCTGTCAACATAGTATTTTACAGACGATTCAACAATTGGCTTTATTTTCTTAAAACTTTAAAAAGTAAAAAATATAGGAATCATTTCTGGATCAATTTTACAAAATTGATAAGTAGACTATGTTATAATTCAAAATAAAAGCATATTCAAGGACTGACCTAACCAAATTTTAGTAGGTCTAATGTGATTTATGCATTTTGTATTGTTAACATTTTAACACAAGGCCGGATTTATGGAGGAGTGAGGCTCACGTTAAGTTGTTAGGGGAGGACTCACCATTAAAATTGGTATGAGCGTTAAAAAAACAATACCAAGTAACATTTTGTAAGTTTTACAAAAGACAACATAATATAAAATTAAAATGCATCTCCATGGACACGCATATTCTTTATAATAATTTGTTATTTACAAAATAAATGATTGTAGAAATGATAACATTTTACTGATACTTATTATTTTCAATAATGAATATTATAATAATAAATTTAAAAATATTAACAATTTAATAATATTTTAATTGTACGTCCGTGATTCAGTTTTGTTTATAACAATTTTTGTTTTAGAAATTAGATTATATGTAGATATAATAACCTATAAAAATTCTCTATAATCTATATATTTTAGATTCTGTAAGATTTCTCATTTTAATTTTGATAGAATTATTATTATAAATAGTAAATACATAATCATATACAACGTGATTGCCACCGCCACGTACATTGTAACACGCAAACGACTAATAAAATCATTTTATTTTCAGAAATTAATAATATTATTAAAATTATCTGTTTTGACAAAAAAAAAAACCAAATATTTATATTCCTAACTAGTGTTAAAATTATAGGCTAAACTGTACTTAAATTTTACCCAAACTACTATAAACGGCCGTTAATGATATTTCCTAAGTACTAAAAATGTAATAATTATTTATGAATGATTTTAAAAATCTCAAATATATATATTATGCTTAAAATTTGTTTGCTCTAACCTCGACAGAATATTTAAAAAATAATTACACTATCTAATCACTAAATGGGATAAAGCTACATTTTAATGTTGTTAATTATGTTAATTGTCTTTTATCGATCTTGAAAGATCCCATGATGTTGTGAGCCCTGAGTGAGCGGGCCATGGTCCTTTCTGGTATCCCTTAATCCATTATGTTGCGATATAGTGCCTAGTTAATATTTACTTATTTGTATAAAAAAAATTGCTTATAAAATTCTTCTATCTTTTTTGTTTAACTTTTCTATTTCAAATGTATAGCCTGCTGTATTCAATTATGTATGTCAACTAATTAAATATAACCCTTACAATGCCCTTTGTTGCCCTTGCCTAAGGTTTTTAACCAATAATTAAAAGAAAGATATACTGTAAACTAAAATGTGCAATTGATAATAAAGAATACACTATAAAACGTAATTAATGAATTTAATATATTAAATTCATTATGTACAATAACCCGATTCTGTCTTTAAATTTATCAGTAGTTAGTCAAAAACTTTTGTGTAGAGTTGGATTTAGTTGCGGAATGGACAGTGTTCGGCCCATTACAGAAATTAACTCATTAGGCCCACAATACAGTACTAGCGACAACTATATTTAAATAGTAATTTGTAATTTCCCTGTTTGTACACCAAACGAGCTCCAAATCTAAGACATACAAATACTGACAATAATATATAATATATTTTCATTATACTATCATAGAATTCACGGAATAGTCGGTGCCCGGTGGTCAAGTATTCTTATCATGTATAGTCGAAGTAAAATACTTTCGTGGTATCACAATATCGAGTTAACTGTTGTATGATTCATTTAATTACTTTACGATGTCGGAGTATGTTAAATTCGGACTAACCGTCTAATCGTAGCAATTGTATATTCGAAGTAGATTATATTCGTGGCAAATGACTGATAAAGCAATGTCGGAGTAACTACAAGTCGTGGCATGCAACATTCGTGGTAACTGTAGCAACCCAATATAACAAGGATCACCAGGGAAAACATAGTAAGTTCCACGAGGAGCGCTAGCAGTATCTCATTTTTTCATACTTATAGATAAGAACTATTGGTGGCCGCTCTATCATAGCTCGATATGCAACGGCCAACATGATGCAGTTATGCAATCGCTAGTCGCTAACGGCTAACCAGTTAATTAACAGCCGTGCCAAACTCACCAACACCATAGTTTTTCTCCATTTTTTTTTATTTTTCTTTAATAAAAAAAAAATCAACTACACATTTTTGAGAAAATTGTATATGGTTTAGCCCCACTCTATATCTACCACCACTCACCAGTATAATTATTAGACATTAAGCCCTAAAACTACACATACAATTCGAAATGAAGAAAAAGTTTCTACCCTTTCTAGGATAAAGGATTTATGATATTTTTTTGGTTTGTCAATGTAGGTATATCGATAATACTATATCTTAGAATTTTCTTTACAAATTTGGAATTAATCGATATTTAAAAAAAAAATATAGCACCCCGTAATTTTCAAATAAAAAAACTACGAAATAAGAAAGTATACAATATTATTATTAATAGAAGTAATACTCTGAGAATATGTTTTAAGCAAGTTATAACAAATTATTAAACCAGAATATGTATTAATAAATTATTTCAGTAGATAGCAGTTCTAGGTAATTTCTTCTGAGCAAATAGTCAACTGGAAAATTATTTATATTATTTAGATAGACAATAACAAAATGTTAAAATTACGATTACCTTTTTCGTCTGGTTGATGTGTCCGATGCGATCCAAATGTATATATGTATATTTTATGACACTGTAGTGAACATTTGACTTGGGTACCGGTTAGTATAATTTTTACATTTGCATTCGGTGATTGCGCATTGGCTATTGTTTTTTTTTTTATCAAACAGGTCTACTGGGCGAAGGTCATAATAATATTGTGATACTATATAAACGGCGATAAAATTAATGTGGTAACTCGTAACGCGTTAAACATCACTTCAATTTATCAATATGTAGGTTACGTTTTATTTATTTTTTAGCTTCGATTCGTAGCTGAGAAGGTCCTTGTTTTTACAATGATGTGTTTTTGTTATTTTTCTTTTTTTTTCTTTGGTACCACGGTATCTTTTGACTTTTAAACCCAATGAACCGATTTCTTTATATGGCAATTCTCTATAGATCAGAAATCGTACCTGAAAGGTTTATTGAGCCAAAACTTAAAATATTCCCCCTTCTTCAAATTCGAGAAAAACGCCCAAAAAATTTACATATTTTTCAACTTAAAATTATGGTACGCTATAACTTTTTTATAGAGTCAAATTAGTTCCAAATTGGTATGGAATATTCTTAACCCTACGTCAATAAGGTAGGGTGAATACGGCCACAAAAACCACTAATTGTGGGGCAGTATTTGCCCCACCTTGTCCACGAAAGGTTAAGAAAATGTACCTACTATCAATAAATGTTGATAAACCAATACTAAATCACAATCCCCTTTCCTCTAAAAGGGGTACAATCTTTTTTTTTATTTTTCATTTTAAAGCAATTTAGGCCTTTAGATCTGAAAATTGAACAACTGAGTGAAAAAAAGATAATATTCCTTATCACCCAATTTTCGGAAAATTGTTTATTTCCAATATAATTTTTACTAAATTAATAAATGAAGTTTCAATTAAATATTTTCATTTTTACTCTCATAATATGAGTAAAACTTTCAGCTACAAAATGGCTGATCAGTTTATTTTTCCTTTTTCTACCCAGATTTTCAATTAGACTACAGATAGATCTAGAGTGAGGCTATAACATATTTAATTTTTAAAAAATCTGTAAACAAATTTTATTTTTATTAAGGAAAACTCAAAACCCAATAAAAAACAGGGAAAATTACCATAGTATTACATATATATATAAAATAAACGCTTTGATATATGTCTAAAGATACACATCAAAGCGTTTATTTTAGTGATATTGTCACTTTCAGTAGAAAAAAATCCTTACAATGACAAAACCTGACTGTACTGTCATACTTAGATTTATCGCTATAATGGTAGTCAATTATATAGCCAGTAATTAGTATACACAAGTTGTAATAAAATTATTATCTATTGAACTAATTCTTAATACTAGGTAAAGACTTAAGTATGACTTTTTTTTACTTAAATATATATTTAAAAAATAAAGTTATATGATACTAACATTTTACAAGTATTAAAATTATTATAGTATATATTCCCAAATGTTGTTTATGTACACACAAAAAAAAATACACTGTGACTATAAAAGTAATTTAAACAAAATTAAATAGGACCATCACATGAGAAATCTTTTAGTGGAAGATGTTTCGTCTCCGTCCCTAATCGAGTTGATGTTCGTAAACGCTTATGGTTATTACTTTCAATGTAATAAGTATTGTGCATATTTTCTTGGTCATAGCGTTCTATAATGACTCTGACTACTCTTTGCAGACAGTCTTGTCTTACCTTAATTAAATCCAGTCCAACATTAGGTTTATTATTACTGGATCGTTGCAGGAGTTGATTGGTGTCCATATCTTGAAGTTTTGATAGTTCAGTATTGGGTTTATTTGCTATTGTTTTTAATGGACTGGAGGATTTTTTTTGTACATTCGAAATTGATGTTTGATTGTTAACAGCTTCTTGCATCTGGACCATTCTTTTGTTAACTAAGCGGTTAGAGCTACTTGTATTTTTATAAATGTCAACCAGTACTACTACTGGCTTCAGATCTAATTGTAAATTTGAAGTCAATTTTTTTTCTTCTATGGCAGGTTCATCTTTGAATACATTATTAGTGTCGTATTTTTCTAGTCTTTTCCTAGTCTTTTCGTGTAAAGACTTTTTGTTAATTTCAAATGATCTTAAACGCTTTAAAATTTGACTGGAGTGAGTTATATAATGGTATTTAGGTTTATCTCTTTTATGAATATTATATTTTTCGATAATTTGACAAACACATTTGTGCAGCATTTTAATGTTAATATTACGGCTGTATCTTGTTTTATCTGACAGAAAATGCCAACTATCCTTATCATCACATATTAATTTCCACTTTCCAGGACCCAATATTGAAGATGGATATGGGTCATTTTGAAAAACTCTTTGGACTTTCTAAGGAAATTAAAAAAAAATATATATATAAATAAATACATCAAACATATTTAGTCTTATTAAGTTTTTTTTTTCGAGCTTGTGCATCCATAGAAATCGGGGGTGTCGAGACTAACCTTGGAAGGTATTACTTCCCCCCCAGTCCTATTAGCTTAAATAATGTTTTTCGTAAAAATATGTAGGTAAAATTAAAATATGTTGTACAGACAAATGTCTGTACACAAAAAGTCATATACAATCCTCAATTAAAATATCTCCAAGCTAAACTTTACATTTTTTTTTTATAACTCCAACAAATCTTTAAATAATTCAAATTATGATATTTTGATATACCGTGCTGTAGTATGCTGACAATTGAAATTAATCACAGATTCTGTGTTAACACATTAATTGTTATTTAAAAAAAAATGTATATCACTTATGAGTATTCGCAAACAAACAGTTACCTTTTATTTTTCTTCATAAAAGCATTCTATTATACATATAGAATATTTAAAATACGTTTGACTGATGTCGGCTATAGCCGACAGAAACAACAAATGTGCGAAGACAGGTAACTTTATTTACAGTCTAACTGTTGTAACTATAAGTACTTTGAATAACAGTGGCAATAAGTTCAAAATGGCAACACAACACTTGAGTATATTTGAATAAATTATAGGTAATTTTAAAATCTATGAAATATCAGTTCTTCTTTAGTTATAGCTATTTAAAACTTCAATACAGCCTAAAATTAATGACGATAATAATTAGATCAAAAAATAATATTATAAACATTAAACACTAAGCATCTAGTAAAAATGTACTATTATACCACATTATACAGTACTTACTTTTTGCAAGTGAGAATGGCCAGGTTGCTCAGTATCTTCAAAATGATTATTCAAACAGGATATTGTCTATACAAAATAATAATTAATTCAATAATTAAAAAAAAAATTAACTAATAAAAAGTGTTCCATTTAAATAACTTACTTCATTTGGCTCATTAATAACTGTTGTGGAAATAGTTTCATTTAGCTCAAGATTCTAGACATTAAAAACATGGCAGCATTTATTAATGTGCAACACGAGTATGAAGAAGTTTACACAATAACTTCTTAGTTATTATCTACCTACAGTGGCAGCTCGTGACTAAGTGTATGGTGCACATATAAGATTTAATAAAAATATGTAATAATTAAAAAACAGTTATTTGATATAACTATAAATAAAACTATATACATACATATTTATTGCACAGTTATAAATAACCATAAGCCGCCACTGTGTACTAATTAATATAACTCTTAAGGGTAAATATAAAACATACATATTATCATAGATACTCATTATTTGTATATTCAAGATTAATACGTTTTTCAGTTTCATTAAATGTAATAAGTAAAAACTGTATTATTTTGATAAATTGAAATTATGGAAAATTAATTACAAACTATAGACAAAATTCTAATAACAGATTAGATATTTAATTACATTTTATGTTCACCCAACACAATTATTGAGTTATTAAGTCAGGATTTTTTAAGACATACAATATGTAAATAATACATAATCATTAGGGTGGTTCAAACATTTTTTTTGTGTAATAAAAACATGCTTTTTAACATTTATTTATTTATTTATGCTGATAATTTTCATATAAAAGATTTTTTTTAAGCACTTATTTATTAAAAAAAAAAAAGGATATAAAATCGACCTGAACACCACATCTAGGAATGGGTTAAAAAATCTAAAAAAAATATCAAAAATTATCTTTTTATCCAAATAACATATTCTCAAGAGAAGAACAAAAATTAATAAAAAAAAATTTGTTTGAACCACCCTAATAATAATTTATATAAAACAAGGAAATAACAACTTACGAGCAATTCTAATACGTCAACTGAAAGATCCTCAATATTATCAAAGTCTTCCCTATATAATCTTGTACCACCAAAATACCAATATACTGATTTGTTTAGATCGTAACCCAGTGGTTTCACATTCAGTTTACTCAATATTTCTGGTTTATTTTCTAATTTTTCTTGTAAATCTTCAACATCCAAAACCAAATGACCAAGTATATACAATGTTTTAACTTTTTCTTTAGTCAACAAATCATCGAAACATGTAGCTGTTGCAAGTGGATCTTCAAAACCATACACCTTCAAAAATATTATTATTTTATAGTGACAGTCTAAATAATTTTAAATTCAATATATAAGTAACGCTTGCTGAGAAATCATAACCTTGAATAAAAGCACATTTACGAGAAGGCTCTTTAAGTTATTGATTTTAAGGATTTATATATACTCTGATCCAAAAGAGAACATACTTGTTTTGCGCATCACGACTGAGTACTGACAGCTAGCAGCTGTTGCGAGGCAAATTTCTCCTACTCTCGCCAAAATGTGGCGCTCTAAGTACACAACAGTTTCTGTCTGAACCTAACCAAAGCTAGTCGTAGTAGATGCGTACTGCCAAACATATACTGGTTAGTGGTTACTGCCTCTTATGTTCTCTTTTGGAATAGAATATACTATACTCTGCGCCACGAGAGAAGTAACCCGTTTCGCGCATCACGACTGACGGCCGCGACTGTTCCGAGGCCCCATTTCCTCCCCCTCTTTGTGCCATTCAGTGTCGCGCTGAGGCGTGCATACAGCGCAAAACCAGCGATATACAGAGTGATTGTATATTATTTATTATAATTGTGAATGATTATATTATATTATCATTTATAAATTACAAATATAATTATTTATTTATTGAAAACATATACGATAGTATAACATAATTAATTTATTATATTAATAATATAATATTAATATTAATATTTATAAATATAATATGTTATTATTATAACATATTTTTACAACAAGGTAAGTGAGGTCAGAGGTTTTTGTGTACAGGCAAAGAAATGACGCATCCCAAACCTTCGTGTATAATCAAAGGAAAGCCACGTTAAAATAACGACAATTATGTAAATAATGTAATAATAATATAAATAAAGTATATTTTTGTTATTTTATAATATTTAAATTAAAAAATATTTAAATAATATTATTATATTATTATTTTAATAATAATATAATAATGTAATAATTCAACAGTAAAAGCAAGCGCGTGGTTCAAAGACGTAAGACGTGAGCTTGTGACTTGTGACACACTGTATCGAATTTACGTTATGATACACCTTATATATGCAGCGCCGCCGTCAACCGTGGGTGTGGCCTATCGGTGGCAATGCGCGGAATCGAACGCGTTTCGGTCGAGCAACGGGTTACTTCTCTCGTGGCGCGAGGTACACAAAATATAGGTATTTAATCAAAAATAAATTAATAATTTAATCTGATTTTTTTTTTAGCATGGAACATGCTTTAGCCTTGGCCACCCAGCCTGAAAACGACACTAAAGTAGCGTGCTTACATTAAACGTATAATAACATATAAGATGCCATCAAAATAATAACAAGCCGTAGTCGTCATGTATAAGGTTTGCTACATTTAAAGGATCCACGCCGGCCAGTTCCTTGTCGGGACAAGAAGGTGATGAGGTGGAGATTTCAGATTCCCTATTCACTTGCTGGGTTCATTTTTTGAACAGCACGTTGTTGTCGTCATACACGAGGTTCATTACATTGGCCGAAATACTAAATATTGCCAGTTAATTGATTAAGGCCAGATATTAAAAGACTATTAAAAAACGTTTGCCCAGAACATATTATAATTTTACTAGACTATCATCATAAATTGCATTGAGGAGATTATACATCAGAAATAATCACTATCCAGGAGCCAGCAGGCTAAAGCATGTTTCATGTTTTATAATTTTAGCCTTTGGCTTTAAGTAGACTGTAATTTTTTTTAAGTTATGAACTAAGGCACTACTTCATAAATAATAATATAAATTAATTGTATATCTATTACAAACATGTTATACTAATATAACAATCTACTTACTGAACAATGGTTTTTGAACAAGGTTTTCATAAAATACCACCAATTATCTGAAATCGATTCATAAAAACCACATACTTTCACAAATCGTATAGCCATGTTCATTAGCAAACTAGTGTTATTGAAAATACCTTCTTCAAATTTCTGTTAAATGTATATAACCAATAAAATGTTTTCATTTTAGGTAAATCATTAAAAAAAGGCAATCATATTTCAGTTATTTTTAATTTTGCTTACTTCTATAGACAGAGGACTTATATCTTTGCAACACAAACTTAGAGTGTTACAAAGATGTACTATGCTTGGTATCTCCCACCATTCATGAATTTCCTTTAGATCTATAATAAAAAATAAAAACAATTACAAAAAGTCTAGAAGGGGTAAAAAAAATTTCACAACAATTATTAAAGTATACATATTTTTGATAAACAAATATTTTAAGTAAACTTTGAGATGGTTTTGCTATTTCTTACAACTAATAACGTATAAATAAGGTGAGCAAATGCAATTCTATAGAATGATGTATGAAGGAATACAAATATCTACGTTTATAATAAAATCTATATTATTATAGCTTTAAACAACAAGTCTACTTTAGAAAACTGCTATATTTCTTATCAAAGTTACAAAATAAAGTGTGTAGACAGAGTTTAGCATTTGCATTTAGTTGAAAATTACTCATAAATAATGCAACTATTTTGTCCTAGACTCCTTAAACATTGTGATTTCTATTTTTCAAAAAATGTAATGTTTTTGTATTAACTTTTGAAACTTAAATACTAAACATATACAGGGTGATCTATCTAATGTAAAACACTAATTTTCTGGGAAAATATGAATATTTTGAAAATTATTTATTATCTATACCTTTAGATACATATTTTACTATACTTTTTAATACTTAGACAATTTTTATTTTCATTGCTTATATGTAGTATAAGTCTGGACTGAATTCCATAAATAAGTAGATAAAAAATTTTAAAAATTGTTAGGGTTTAAATTTTTAATTTACATAATCTCTGAAACAATGCGAACATAAATACAAATTTTATGGGCTATGGGAATTTCAAAAACTGAAGACATATAATTATAAGGCGAAAAGTAATATCTTTGCAAAGTCATAGCAAACAAACAGATTGATGAAAATTCACACTAACATTTTTCTAAAAATGTTAGTCTACTTATTAAAAGAAATGTTCCCATTTAAAAAAAACAAGATCCATACTTGTTTTATACTTCAGTAAACGTACACAGGATGATCATTGTATCGTGAACTACTCATTATCTCATAGGATTTACTAAGAATTTTAATTTTTAATTTTTCATATATTTTTTATAAAATGTGATCTCAATTTTTCGAAATTTGTTTGTTTTTAACCCCCTTGCCACTTAGTTTTCTTGATAGCAACTTTTGAAATTTAAATGGTAATACCCACTTTTGACTTCAGATTCGTAACCAGTGTAAAAAACACTAATTTGGCAAAAGAAACCACTAAAAAGGATGTCTGGTAAAGTATACTTGTTCCTCAGAATCCTCTTTTTTTAAATTTGTTACCGGATCTATATCTTCCCCCGACTCAACTACTAGATATCATGCACAAAAGCAAAATAGGATAGTAAGAAAAATCCCAAGCTCTAATTATAATAAAATGATACATATTAATGGAAAAAAAAAGATAGTACTATTTAAAATACTAAAAATCACTCACGACCAAAAAATTAGATTGCAATCATTTTTTTATCAAAAGATAACACCGTACAAATTATGTACAACAAATTTAATTCCTTTCTACGTTTATTGTTATAAAAAGTTGCACATCATAACACTGAGTGGGAAGTGGTACTATTACATTCAATGAATTAAACAAATTTGATACCTACACTATTTACATTTATATTATTACCTGCCATCGAGATTCCAAAGGATTGTTTCGTCCAACTCGAAGTCTTACCAAATAATTGTTATAAAATATTCGTCCGAAGGTTTGTTAAGAAAGCATTTAACGTATTTGTGAATTTATTTTTCAAATCACTGAACAATTGCAGAATAGGTAATCAATTTATAGTACTAGCTCAGTGAGCCCACACATCAACGTTGGTGGTTAAAACTTAAAGCTTAATAATTTAAAACTAACGGCGCATTGCTCAACGTGATAGACGGTACTAAGAATAAGGTGTAATGTGTCTTGTGATTTGTGTATCATATTACTATTATCATCATATTAGTATTGTTGTCAACAACAAGTAATCTGGAAAAAAATCCAACCTCCATTTTGGTTAACGCACTTCTGGGGTAATTCATTGGCCTTATCCTACTACGGAGCATGCATGTAGTTCCAAAGAGCGGACGTGACAGCGCTGTCGACGGGACTCGATGACGTCACTAGATCATGTGCTCGTGCGTATTCGAGTTCTCAGTGTAGTAAGATATCTATATAGTATATATCCAAATACGACGATTGCCGTGCTCGCACCCCTCGCGACCTACTCTGATGCTCCGTCCAGTAGTATAAGCATTAAGCATTGAGTATATATCATGGTGGTAGTATACAGGTTATTGCACATTTTCAGATCACATTAATTCGTTTCGATTTGTTATCTTCAGAAATAAAATAGTAGCGTAACTATTTCCCGTTACGCTCATAGACCTATAAACATTCTTTATAGGTCTATGAGCGTAACGGGAAATCAATTTTTCAATAATATACCATTGATTAAGTACAAATACATTGTATTTTATCAATGAATATAGACTTTACTATTCCTAAATATACTTGATTTTTATTGGCTGCCCGTTATGCTAATAACAAATTACACGGGTAGTATATGCCGCTCGCGAAATAAGTCGATCATTTTCTCGGAGGACAATTTAATGTATTTATATGTACTATGTATCGAGTGGCCGACATGTGACCAAAACCAACATATGGCATGTGACACATCTTTATCAGTTAGAATTTTATTCTCAATTCCGAGATATTCTTACGAGTTATTTTGTATTAATTATGTGTGTCATGCCATATGTTGGCATTAGTCACATGCCGGCCACCCAGTGGACGTATGTGTGGCCAGATACCAAAAAATCATGTTACATATCAATTCAGCAAGATTTTTTCTCCTGATTTCAAATCTGAAATTATTTTTTTTGTAAGACAATTTTTTAATGAGATATGAGTTCTATTTTAAATAATTTAAAAATTAATAAAAAATGAATACCATTTATTGTACTCATAGAGCATCCTGAATGTCTCATTTGAAACTCGCTAGAACTTTACATTACACCCTGTATATGTGTGTGTGTTGTATTTTTTGGTACCTATGTACATATAATATAATATATAAACAATGATAGTATTTGCTCTCCGAAAACATGGTGCATTGATTTCGTGATATCGCCGAAGAGTCCGGGGCCTGGTCAAACCAACTATAATTTTTAATGGCTGAGTCATGATTTTGTCACAAGCTAGCGCCAGAATCAATAAAAGGCGAATTGTGACAAACACCGACCGCACCCCTCCCCACCATAGAGTGTTCCGTCCTGTTAATTTTCCAGCCAATTGTAGTAAATATGATAAAGAATTTAATTTTGAACGTGCTGAACAATTTTAAAAAGTGGACTTGTCTGGTCATTGCATTTTGCACGGAGCCTTTCAAATTTGGTTGATTTTAGTATTGGTTTTTAAGCATTAGATAAAAGTGTCTATACTTGATAGACGGCGTTCTCAGAATACGTTTATACAACATGAAAGAGATGTACACGTGTCACAGAACGTTTTGGGGTTGTTCTATAATTATATAGTTGACATTAATTATAATTAATATTAAAATATTTTTAAACACTACGTATCATAATACCATTGCGCATTATTACGAAGTATTTTTTTGTTTTATTTTCAATAAATTGACGAAATATAAAAAAAAGAGATTTCGTCAAGATTTTAGAGGAGGCTAAGCCATTTAGTCCCTTGATTTCGTTGTGTTAAGTGTCCCAACCGTAAATAAATGGTGGATCCGCTCTTGATATGTATACATATTATATATAAAATGTATGGGGCATTCCACGGCAAGTGTTCCCACCTAAAAAAATGTTGATCACCGATTCCGATGAAACTTTGTAAAAGTATTATACTACCCTTATACGTTCTCAATGTAAAATGAGGAGCGGTAAATATGACTGATTTCCGAGTTACAGGATTTTCAAATTTTGCACTTTTTTATGTCCGCCCGTTTTCTTTTAATTTTTACACAAATAAAAAGTGGTCGCTCGGGGTTAAAAAATAACGCGTCCTTTAGCATTTTTTCCATACTTTACGATAATAATATTTTAAATTTCTCGAATCTGACAACTAGAAATGTTCACAATAATGTATATTAAAATATTCTTTATTTTTAATTTTTTTTTTATGAGATCATCACAGTGTTCTTTAACAATTTTTTTAAGCGGCTTTTCATTATTTATTTTTTAATAAAAAAGTGGCTATGCAGATTGTGTACTAATGTATTAATGTAAATATTATTAAGATGACGTTATACCCCCTATTTATAAAGAAGTTAGGTATAGGCAATTTTTTTGTAAATCGTAATATAAAGGCTAGACTGTGATGTTTAGTTATTAGTTATGTAATCTTAACTCTTTTTTGGTAGTTTATTTATTTTTCGAAATATCACAGCATCCTTGACAGCGATTTAAAAAAAAAAAATGTCATCTAAACTGGCTACGCATTTTCTCTCTTATCAACTAAATAACAATTTTTTCTTACATATTTAAAATAATAAGAACTTTATCTAAGTTCTCTCGTCGGCCTATTTTGATATTATTAACCCAACATTCACAATTTATATTTTAATTCTGATATTTTTTTTACTTTTTTAAGTGCTTGTATTTAAGGTAAAATTAAAGTTTTCCATATAATAAAAATAATGTATATATATTATTTTGATGTATATATTATTATAAAGTGCATACAGTTTTAAAATATTATTAAAATAGAATATACTTATAAATACAAATATAACAATAAATAAATGTTTCAACAGATTAACATATTATGTCACTCCTATAGTTAGTCCTAAGCTCATTTTGTGGTTTTCAAACATTACAATAATTTGATTATACACCACAGGTAATATTACATTATAAACAAAACAAAAATAAACAATTAACATGTTAAACATTAAAAACAAATCAATTTTGGTAATTTACTATATTAAAAATTTTCCCGTGTTGATATAAAACAATTATCTGATTTAACAAAAATTATATTATATGTAATGACAATTTGATTCGAGGGTATAGTTAGGTACTATGAATATTATTAATAGTAAATCATAATATATGCATTATCTTCATGCTGAGATCCCCATGAAAATAAGCCATTCCCTTGTATATATACTAATATAGTAAATGGGTAGGTTAGTAGGTATAAGAATTTCAAAATTCTTTTTAAGATTTTAGACATTATCTCCCACTAGATGCTGTATAACTAGTAACTTTGTTGTCGAGTGTAATTTAGGCTACATATTTTTAATTAATTATTAAGGTTAAACCGAAAAATACATACTTAAAAATTGGCAATTGATGCAATAATAAGATGTACAAGCAAAAACTTTAAATGTGCATGATAATATTATATGTTATAAATGTACTTAACTTATTCATAGTACACTAAACAATACTTAAATGTTTAATTTAAACTAAAATAAAACTATGTTAATATTTAAGTTTTTTATGCAATTTTTTGAAATAATTGAACGGCAAGTATTCATAAATTAATTATGTATTTGTATTAAACAAAATTAGTGTTGCCAATATTATGCTTACCCACTTACTATTCGCATACATAATGTATTTTATGTGGCATATACATACATTAATAGTCTGTTCAACAAGAAAATGGACTACACAAAATCTACAATAGGTTACTTTTATCTACACAAATGCAAACGAGAGTAATGTGTTTTGGTTTCTGAGCAGGCTTATTCTGTTGTTAAACAGCTATAGAATGGTTATGAATTTATAAAAAATAAACTTTTAATATATATTTAAAATTATATGTTGTCAACCACAAAACGTAAAAACTCTGTTTTTAGTACCTAGCTTATTCTATTTACCATTAATATCACAGAAATGCTTAACCTAAAACTAAAATGTAAACATTTACAATTTGTTTTTGAAAATTAACAATATATATATATATATAAAGGTTTCAAAATATGTTATACAAACAGCATTCATGTCTTTCTTTGAAATTAATGTATTGATATTTTTCATAAAAAAATATTGTCACAAGTGTACCTAAAATGTTAATATTTATATATAATAACGCCAATCGGCTTTTGGTAAAGTTAAATAATCTTAATTGGCAATGTTATAAATCACAACAAAAGTATTTTTTTAGGATTAAAATGTCCATGAATACAATAATTACACAAGATAATTTGTTTTGTTATTATCTCTTATTATGTATGGTTAGCAATTATAAATATAAAAATGAAAACAATATAAAATCGACAAAAACAATTTAGCAGACAACTGAACATAGGGAATTACAAGTTTTTTGTTTTGTAACTCAATGATACTGTTATAAAAAAATGAGCATAAAATTAACAGTACTGTTTATAAAATATAATAAATGTTTGAACATAAAGGATGGATTATGTGAAATGCGTATTTTAGCTTAATTATTGTAACATATTGAGTATTATAATTTATAAGAATAATATAAATACTCTATGATTATAAAAATAAACGTTTTTATAAATTTATAAAATATATAATAAAATTATAATTTTGGTAACAACGGTAACGGTTGTAATCCTTTAGAATAACAATAATGTTAGATAAAACTACAATTAATTAATATATATGTTTTACAAATATTTTAAGCATTAATGAACACAGGGTAATTATTCAAAATATTTGACACAGCTCATTAATAAGTTATCTGTCTTAGTGCAATCTCAACTTCATAGTAAAAATCAGTAGGCCATTTATACCGCAAAATCATTAAATATATAATAAACACATAAAACAAAATTAAGCACATACTTGACGGATATTGACTCATTTAAACTCAAAAAGGTAACCTTAACAAACCTATTGTTAACTTATATCTAAATAAATATAATTTAACTGACACTTTGATATCACACTTGTACTTGGCATACATAAATAATATAGCACAATAAGAACAAATCATAGTACTGTCCCATAAAATATTTGTTGTTGCCTTACAGATCTTCTTTTTACAGAAAGTCGTGGCTACTTAGTAATTAAATTGGTTTAACATTAAGACTGCTACATACTAAAGACATTTTATTCTTAACTTACACATAACAGGTACATATTTCAATACATTAAATATAATAATATATTATCATGTATACAATTAGTTTATTTATAAAGAAAATTATTGTATATATGTATATATATATATATACTAACACACACAATAATTTGTTAGAATTTGAAAGTTATATGACAACATCAATATTTATTTTGACATAAGTATTATAACAACAATTGTGTAGTACTAGGAACTTATGAGTACTGGGTTTGGTCCCTATAAATAGTGTTAAAAGCAAAACATATTTATATTTTAAGCTACGGATTAAATATAAATTAAATAATAAATAATTTTTTTTAAAAATATTAATGGTTAATTACAGTCTGCAAATATATTTTTCCGTTAAAAAACATTTCAGTGTATAATATTGACAACTTAAAATACAGTATTTATAAAATTTTAATTGTTATTGTTTAACTAAAATAATATAACTTATAGATATTCATGCAATATAATATTATTAACAATTTGCATAAATGCAATAAATAATTTTGAAACTTTTATGATTATAACTCTACATAGTATGCGTGATTTGAAGACTAGATAAAATATGTTTTTGACTTTGAACTAGAACATTAATAATAAGTTACTGACAGAATATAAACAAATATAACTGAAACGAATATAAGGAACACCAAAAGCAGAGCAAACAAACAATACATGTTTTTATTCAGGAAAAAAAGTATTAATGTTACGGTTGTACTTTCTATCATGGTTTACCAAAGCAATGTGAAACGATTATTTCTGGATTTATTGCTCTATTTTATTATTAAGTTTCACTTATTCAGTTAATAAATAAGTATTTCAATGTATAACGATAAAATTATGGTAAAAAGGAATGAACAACTGTGGATGACTGACTAGAGAAAAAAAGTTCTTGTGGGAACTATTGTTGTTGATGGAAAACCTGATTAAACCCTGGTAATGGCGTTGTGCCTGTTTCGGACTCTCTCAATAGAGCTGACAGAATTTCAGAAGATGATGCTAAATACTCATTAACTTGTATTTGTGATTCTTGAGTTACATGTTGTTGGGTTTGTTGCATTAATATTGTAGATTCATCATGAATACTTAATAATGAAGAGTTAGTAGGCTCCATTTGCGGTTGTGGCATTAAGCCAATTAAATGGGTTAACTCAGGAATTTGGGGATTAGTTGTCTCTTGGTAGTTGTCTGGTAACTGATCGGTTATATTAGTGGCAAACTCTTTCAGTTCATCAACGGAATAAGATGATTGAGGGTCATCATAACTCATACTCTGTAAAGAAGCTTCATCGTGGGAAACCATTGGCTGTGTGACTGAAGAACTGCTTTGGCCATAATTAAAACTAGTTATGCTAGATGAATCGAACAATGGAATTTCTGGCGTTGGATTTTCTTGTTTAATTAAACTGCCGCTTGTAATAGTTTCAGACGTTTTTCTTTCCACTTTAAAAGGATGACCATAGGTTTCTAGATAGACGGTTTCAACAGATTTGCATTTGTACTGTTCATTTGATTTTTTTGGTTTAGATTTTTTTGATGTATTTATATTATGACTTTTTTTGATATGACGTGTAAGGTGGTCTTTACGACCAAATCGTTGAGGACAAAACTGACACAGGAAATCTCTTAGACCAGTGTGTACCACTAAATGTCGACGGACATCCTTACCAGTATAAAAGCAACGATCACAAAAATTGCAACGATATTTTTTATCGGCTGGAGTTTTGATCACTCTAGAACCAGAATGAATTTTCAAATGGTACAATAGTTCATCTTTTGATTCAAAAACTTTACTACAAATCTTGCAATCGAGAAATCCTTCTTCTACAGAATGTACTGCTATGTGCTTACGAAAACTTAACAAAGAACTGTATTCTTTAGAGCAACCTGGACGATCACACTGCAATGTTCGTTTAATAGGGTTATGAACTTTAGCATGATTTTTCAAATGGTCTTTCCTGTGAAATGTTCTATCACAAATGTTACAATGATATTGTCGCTGGTCAGAATGTATCAACACATGTCGCACTAACTTAAATTTAGAAGAAAAAGCTTTAGAACAATGCTTACACACAAATGGTTTTTCTCCTGTATGGGAATAAGAATGTTGAGTCAATTTGCAAGGACTGGTGAATGATTTGAAGCATAATTGGCAAACGTGTCTACCCCTCAACATTTGACTGATTCCAGGTAACTGTTGTTGCGATTGAACAGGATTAATGATTAAGCCTTGATCACTTACCGTAGATTCTGATTCTATTGGCTTTTCAACATTTGTTAGAGTCACCGAACTTTCAGGCTGCTCATTGCTTGTTTCAAACAACTGACGTTTACACGTAGTGGTTGGTAATACAGTTTTACGGATTTTTTTTTTTGATTGATTCGCTGAAAAATTTGGTTCACAAGATGTAAACGGGGTTGATGATAAACTACAAATGCAAACATTTTGTTGCCCAAATTTGCTTTGAATTGGTTGATTACAGTTAGAGCACCATTGGACAAGGCGTGATCGTAGTTGTCGCCCCGGTGATGCTTGCTGTACATCAGGTTCGTTTTTTGGCCATTGACAGTGGTCTGTAAAGCAAAAATAAATAAATATTTTAAGGTCTAAATTATCTCATTCACATACATTTCTTTTTTTTTTAAAACATCATGAAGTAAACATAAAAACTACTAAAATTACCAAGTTTACAATTTAAAGTCAAAATTAATTTAAAATATTTTTCTGGTATTTAAGGACTAACTGTAGTATGTATCACAACATTTTTTTAAAAAAAATCTCGTTATTTGCAAACAATATCGATGGTGACACGGCAAAAGGGTCTAAGCAACATATTTCATAGTTTTCAGGATAGTAATTAAACTTTTTTTTGTGATTTACTATTTTTTTTTTAAATTTATATAAGATAAAACCATTAAAAAATTGTTTACAATATTTTCAGTTCTCTATAAAATTAAAAAAATACAATATATAACTGTTTTCTAACCAATAGTATAAGCCTTGTCGCTTAGACCCTTTTGCCGTGTCACCAGCGATATATAGAAAAATTTTACGAACCAGGAAAAACTCTTCACCTACCATTTTCCCCCAACTGTCTTAGAGGGAGGGGGTTATTTTATTAAAATTAGTAATTTAAATAAAATTGTCATCCTTTAAATTTGAAAATATTGGATTTAATAAGGTTTATCACGGAACTTTTACTGAACTCTATTAGAACGGGGTTGGTTAAATCTTATAAGTGAATATTTTTGTAATTTTTTTTTCAATTTTCTATTAAGAATTAGAAAGAATTCTATTAAGGCTCTTAAAAGCAACAAAAGTAGTGAACAGAAAAAAACAATTTTAATCACACATCATATTTCAAACTTATTTGAAACATACTACTACATTACATCTAGTTTAGTATTTTATAAGTTATTATAGGCTTAAGGAAAAACTTTAAATATACACGAACATTCGAAAAACACGAGCAAATATAAAATATACTTCGCATCTAATATGTTTCACTGAAACATTCAAATTTAATTTAAATAATAAATTATTTCACCATTATAAAAATAAAAATAAAGGCAAACTAAATTTAAAATTTATATGTACAATAAAATGTTGGAATATAGAAATAATTAGTAGCGTTTATGTTATTTATTATTACATGTTATAGAAAATAGAAGTTTTAATATATTATGTTCCATTGTTATACATTTTAAATTGTGTTTCACACAAAAAAAAAAGTGTTTACTCTTGTGAACACTTTTATAAAAAGGTGTTTTTTTTTATGAGTTAAAATGTATGTTACACTCATTGTCTAACGTTCAAATATTGTATTGCATTATTCATAAAGTATAAACATTTCACCAAATGTAACATTACCTATTAACAGAGTATCTACCTTATTTTTGTTTTTCTTAAGAACATAAATGAAAAAAAAAGTTTGTTTAATGAGTTGTATAAACCTTATAAAATATTTGATAGCAAGTGTGATTTTTAGTAATTAATAATAATTATACTTTTAGCATCGAGGACAAAAGATGAGCCAATTTTGAACAATATCAGTTTCATCTCATAGTAAAACTTTTCCCTTTGACATCAACGCCAAAAAAATTAGATATTTTAAGAAGAAAAATATCCAAATATTTAATTCTAGATGGATAATTTGCAGTAGAATTCTTAGTGTAGCTATGAACTAAAACATAAGTTATTCTTCCCATATAAAAACATTTAAAAATGTAAAATCTAAATATTTGAAAGTTTCTACATTTGATAAGGAGTATTATCCCATTTTTTTTTTTAATGTTTTTTTTTACTAATTAGGTAAAACCATAATTTTTTTAAACTAAAGCTCTTTTTACCCTTACGCCACTCTATAGAACATTGTTTTCTGGTAGTTATAAGGTGTACATTTTGTACCAAGGGTCTATCAAAATGAAGGTGAGAGAAACACAACATGGTTTTTACCATAATTGAAGTACAGGGGTTTAAACTTTTTCATGTTAGGAACAATTTTAATTATAATATAAAAACTAAAACCAAAAACATTTGTCTTCTTTTAAATATAAAATTTTAAAGAACACACAACAGTTCAAATAGAATAATTTGAGAAGTGGTATTAATTTTCTGTTTCTATGCTAAAAACAGAATATTTAACAAAAAGTTGTCTCCAACAACGAATAAGTCTCCATAATTATAAATGCCTGATAAAATAATAAAATAAAATTTTAAGAAGACATTTGAGTTGGGAATAGGCTTTTACTAGGACATTTTTGTGAGATTGGAATTTTGAACTTATAATTTTAATTTCATAACAGGGGTTTATATTTTAATGTTTATGCTAATGTAGAAAATAAATCATTCTATTAACCCTTCAATGCACGAATTTTTAAATTAAAAAAAAAAAAAATGTTCCCTGTATATTTTGAGTCGTAGATTACGAAAAAAATTCTTACTCCAATATTTTCCTGGAAAATGAACAATTTTCAGATTATTGCCTATTTGCAACATTGCGCATAAAAATGTTACTATATTCGATAAAACAATCAACCTTTATTGTTTCTTTTATATTACAAGTCTAATTTATTTATTACAAACCAAAACAATTTTTTTTTTATTAAATATGCAAATATTAATAAACTTATAATACTTTTAAATTAAGAGAAACCGGGAAAAATATTGATTAGGTCTTACACATTTTTAAACAACAGCAGCGGCTGATAACGGAACTATCAGCTGATCTGACATTTTTTTTAATATCAAAAACTTCTCTATTTATCAGCTAGTTAGTACTAGTAAGATGAAAAATAACCAATTAAATAAAGAAAAAGGAAAAAAAGATTGTTGCGAATAAGCAACATGGCGCATTGATGGGTTAAGTAACATTTTTCATGTTTATGTTACAAAATTGTTGGTGAAGCGTTTTACATTCTCATGCAAGAATCAAAGTACATACTTATTCTATATTCTACAAGGCGTATCCTAAAAGTAAGGGTTCTATATTTTTAAAAAAATTAAAAAGTGCTACATGGTTATGTTGTGCAGGTCAGACCGGTTTTCTCAGGTCATATGTCCGGGGCCTGGCCCTACAAAAAAAATAAAATAAAAGGGGCCCGGAAGATGTAGTTTTCCCGGGGCCCGGCAAAGCTGAGTACGGCTCTGATGTTGTGTACATACATATTATTTTTTAACATAATCGTCATTCACTTGGATGCACTTTTAAAGACGCACTGGAAGTTTTTTTTAGTTTAAAAGGTAAAACGTTTAAACTAAACTAATTTTAAAGAGCCTTTGTGTTGCAGTCAGTATTCTGTGTCTTTCATTATGGATGGATATGCACCGTTTTTTCAGTTTCTTGCAATAAAAGGTAGCATTAATTGTGGTTCCTATTAGCATTAACTCGATGAGAAGAACCGTTTTCTGGTCCAAAATCATGGTTGTCATGTTTTTCCCGAGCAGATTGTGTCACTTTACACTTGTTTTAAAGAATGCTTGATCCTACGTTGTCTGTAATTTAAAGGTTCTTTTGGACCAGTTTGGTTGTGACATTTGAACCCACCTCGTTCCCCTTCAGCCCAGGCCTGACATCGTCAAACTTTCACTTGTTTTTGAACCTTAAAAGACATTTTGGTGGAAAAAGGATAGATATAGATGAGAAATCAAGAAAGAAGTCATTGAGTACCTAAAAAATAAATTGGCCACAAGCTTCTATGAGGAAGGTATAAAAAACTTCTAGTACAACTTGATAAGTGCGTCCAAGTGAATGTCGATTATATTGAAAAATTATATTAATATATACAACATACCCATGCAAGGAATTTTTTTAATTAACCTTATTTTTATTTTTTTTAAATATGGAGACCTCACTTTTAAGACATGCCTTGAAGATTATGTCATATGTCAAAGAACATAAGGTCCCAAACAAACTTTGTATAAAAAGATAAAATGAATATCATTTCACACACGCACCTTTGGATCCCATACCGAAGGCATATTCTTTGTATTTTGGCTGTATATAGTTCTTCGCTGGTGTCTAGCAGGAGTGGTATGACTTGGCACTGAAATTTGTGCCCGCACCAAAGTGTCTCGTAATGTGTCGTTGGTCGTTGACGAGTAACGACAGTGGAAATAAACTCGCAGAGAAACAATAAGAGAGAATCAAAATGAACAAGTGATAGCGAAAATGCCTATTTACAACTTCGTTGACGATTTACTTCAGCTTATGTACCTCTTCGTTGTTAGACTGCCAACGTCCTGCATTATCGAAGCTCTGGATTTATGGCATATTAGCTAAGCACGTCGGGGGTAGGGCCAACCGCTAGGATACGACCCCTGTGCAATATGTGCCTTGCCTTTTAGCTGCTACTCGGCTATGTCGACGGTTAGGTTGCCACAGATAGACCGAAATTGCGAGACGAAGATGTTGTGAGATGGTGATTATGCTTATTGATGGTAACGCGAGTGGATTGCTTGCGCGGCGGATCAACGGCCAGAGGTATGTCGTGTATTTTATCGAATCTTTTGTTGTCTTTTTTTTTTACACAGTCCGACGAGACCGCACGAAACGAGCACAAACGATTTCACATTGTTATCAAATGCGCCCTTGAGCAACACTCAACAGCAGCGCATTGTTTTGTTTTGGTTTTGTTTCGTTTTTTTCTCCTACTGCGTATCACAGATAAGACAACCGCACTACGGAGTGCGATTCCCCCCTTTCCCTTCTTCCCCACTATTACTATTGCGCTCCCGCCATTTTCACCGTACCGTTACCCAACTGTTATGCGCGTATGTATAATTATTATTATATAATTCACATATGTTTCTTTGTGTGCGGTTTAGCAGCTGACTGTGAACATTTTCCTTTCGGCAACGGCAATGTAGTGACTAGTGTGTACTTGACTGTATGTGTAGGTACAGTATACTTATCTATGGGCTATGGCTTGTCTTGCCACTCAGTATTACAGCTGACTACCGATTATACTTGTCTATGGGCCGAGTATAACGGTCTATGTGCACCGTGCAGTGTATTATAGTCCTCGATGTTCGACGATAGTACGTTTCCTGAGAACTAAATTGTTATGCGCCAAACTCCAATATTTCATATTTAATTATAGACTTTGTATCACATATATCACAGATTATATTCGTATAATCTGTGCTTGTATGCTAAGTCATTATAAGTAGAAGTCTACCTACTCTAGGGCAACCGTTCTTTGCCTACTCTCAAAATTGTTTTACTCCGTCGTTACTGTAAATTTGACATCCCTTAAATAATACCACCCTAATAGGCACTTTCCTTTAAACGTGTTTCTTTTAAAACACCGTTTATAAATGGCTTATTTGAGTACTTATGTATGGTGTATAATTATTGGTACTGCTACTAGGTTAATAGCTAAATTTAACTTACTCGTGATCACTTATTGAAATTAAAAAAATCTGGATTTCCACGATAAAACGCTATTATAATTATTTAAAAATCGTGGACCCAATTACAGTGTGCAAATATATTGTATTAAAAATTTAAGTAAAATGTTTTTGATGAAAATATAAAATACAAAACAAAACCGAAAAGATAAATTGCTTTCAGATATCAGATTTTAATTGAAATTTAATTTATAGTTTGAAACAGTCGACACTCGACAGATAAAAATCAATGATAAAATGTCGACTTCATAGGATGGTCCAATTTGAATTCTGTGTAGAGATTCAAGTTCTTTGGCTACTTTTCTAAGTAGGAAGCTGATATTCATTTATCAGTGTGTCAGTTTCTTGTAATTAAATAAATTAAATTTGCAATTTTTTCAATATTACAACCATGGTTGAATTATATAGGTTATTGCACATCATCTTGAATTGTTATCTTCAGAAACAAAATGGCAGGGTAAGGGGATATCAATTTGACTATATATTTGTTTTTATCATAATATTTTATTAAGAAGGGGTACATGTGCAATAACTTTGTATACTTCAATCATGATTAAACCCCAATTTATTTACATAAAAAAAGCAAACATTTTTTTTCTACATAACTAAGTAAAATTGCCAAATAACTCGTATATCTTGACTTGAAATCGGACTATCCTCTAAGTAGTCGAGATTGTATCTGGCTTTTCAGTCTAAATAAACCGCATGCAATCCCCATAAAAAGATAAATTGATTGCGATTTCTAAGTTAAAAATATAAGACAATGAAAATTCCATTATGTGTGGTCACCATAGAAGAATAAAAAAAAAAGGAAACAAGTAAGATTTCTATGTATGACAACATATATTTTTACAAAAAAAATACCACCAATTACTAAAATTGTTCCAAATAGTTTTGCAATAAAAGTTTATACTCAAAGTTTTAAGCATAACATCAATTAACAATTACAGACTATCACTGCCGAATGTAGTGTGATTACTTGGTGCAGTTTCAATTTTCAAATCTATGTTTTTTTATTTATATATGCTTAAAAATTCAGGAAAAAATATATAATAACTAGTTAAATATTTTATTAATATGTTTTCTTATAATATACACTAAAAAAGTAAATACTAATTATAATAATACATATTATTATGAGTATATGGTAGTACTCATTGAATATAAAAATACGAATACTGTAAATATAAATATAGGAATGTGTTAATAATCGGACGGATATTATTATATTCGAATGGCTTAGAGAAAAATTAAAGTTACAATACATTCTAAATAATATACAATCATATTAGACAGTATAATATATATGATACATTGTCAGCCACATTTTAATGATTAAAAAAGTACAAGTACTAATTATACTACAATTATTTAAATTTAAAAGCTGTATTACTTTAAATGACTAGTAATAGTAGTATAAAAGGCACATTAAGCAACATTAAATTCGATTGTGTTACAACAGTGAAATACAGCCACAAAATGATTAAGTACTCAAATGTTTTCATATAAATATAGTTTAACAATATATAAAAAAGGTAACATTACTACAAGAACATAGTTTAGAAATTCAACTGGATATATTATAAGTATACAACATTTAACAATAAAATACAATTATTATTATAATTATTCTATTTTAAAAATAAAGCAATAGACGAAGGAATGTTAAAAATTATATATGTAAATATATGTATATAAATATAAATTTATTTTGGACGGATTATAAAATATTAGTCTATTAGTTCCATCAAAGTTAAATCCTAAATAAGGCACATTACCTATCGGCATACACTTAAAAATATGTTTGTAGTTAGTTGGCTTTGGAGCTCAATTGATTACAGTAATTATTGCTTTTGTGATGCACAATATGAATCTCAAAACATAAAATGTGTTACAAATAACAGCTCTTTTGACCAACTGACATGTACAAATATGAACATCAGGAACTCAAGCTAATCTAGTCAAAATTATAACAATAAAATTTTTTTTACATAAATAAAAAAATCGCTGTATAATTCTTTGGTAAAAATTCTAACATTTCAAAAAACTAAAATATGATAAAAAAATATTCTCAGAATATGAGCTAAAAAAGACGCAGAATGCATGACTTTAAAAATTTTCCAATGATAAAAATAATTTAACTTAAAATACAATTAACTACATTTCTTAGTATTTTATAGTTTTTTTTAACTTTTAAATTTATTATTATAATTAAAACCTTAATAGCGAAATTGCATATGGTTACTGACATTATTAAAAATGAATGTACGTAACTATACAGTTAATCATAAATATATATTAATGTTTAGGTACTTTAAAATAAAGTGTTACTGTCCCAACGATCTAACGAATTATGTATACAGAATATAGTTGACCAATGTAGGACTAAAAAATTCACATGTCAGTAAGTGACGAACGCTTTTTGACCAAATCTACAAGCACATCTAAATATTGTTGTGTGTTGCTGAGCGATGTACTAGAACTTTGTTGAGAAAACAAACCTCCATTGTCAACAATTTGTTCTAGTTTATTAACTACAGTAGCAATGTCTCCTTTAGTTATTCGTTTATTGTCTGTAACATTAATACCATTCAAATGCTCTAAAATTGTGTCGGCAGTTTGAAACAATTGATTAGCCATCAAAGATAAATGATCTGAAATAATAGTATTTACTGTAAATACAAATCTAAGCTTTAAATATTGCATAATTTACTTTTTAAGTTCTTTTGTTGGCTTAAAGAACCATTCATTTTTAGTTTTAAAGATAAGTCATTCCGAATTCGTGGTTTATCGGATGGTTTGTTAGATGGACTTTTTAAGTTCATTTCACTCACACTACGAGTAAGAGCTGTAGTGTTTCTTCTGAGAAAAAAAATATAATTAGTAACAAAACTAAACAAACATTAACAACTACACACCTGGGTTTTTCAGGAGCATATAATTTAGATTGGGACGATATTAGAATTGCTCTGTTACGTAGTGATGTAAAAAATTCTTCTGAACTTGAATCTTCATTGTGACCTATTACGTTTAAAGCAGCTAAAAAACAAAGAATATTTATTTGAAATAGTTGGAATAAACATATAGTTCATAATCATAGACAACTAACTTGTTGATTGTGAAGCTGTAGAACTTCTTCTCCGTAAAATATTGGACTTGTTAGCAATAACTTTGTTTTGAGATGAGATTGTTGGTCTCATAATTCTTGTAGGTATTGCTGAGGTTATAGTTCCACTGCCATTAGTTTGTTGACTGGCATCACTCTCGGAATCACTCTTAAATTCCAAGGTAAAATTTTAATTTCTTAATATAAAAAATAAAAAAGTATTAACTCACCTGGTCCAAAACATTTACTGAATTACTTCTTTGCATACTGCTTAGTGTTGGCTTAGGTTTTTTTGATAAGCTTCTTGGCATTGGTTTTGTATCTAATTAAGTTAAATAATTTGTATGATTTACTTGTAAAGATTAATATTAGGTAATGTAGTAAATCTAAGGTAATATAGTATTCTTCTCCTTCATTTGCGTTATAACTATTTGAGTTAGCCACTCTTGTCCTAAGCCTTCTCTCGACACAATTTCCCAGATCATCTACGCATACAATAGCTATCCTCATATATTCTCAATTACTCATCTAATTACTTTTTATTAAATGAATGTGAAATTAAAACAAAGAGTGTGTAAAAAAAGGAAGGTAACCTTTTAAAATAACTAGATGTTGAAATCCATACAGTTTTTATTGGTTAAAAAAGACTATGTAGATGAATTACCTATAGATGATGGTTTACATCCAGAGTCTAGACTAACATTTGGCTCAGGAAATCATTAGCGTGAGCTACCATCAGATTAAGAGCAATAAATATATTTTCTCTAATAGTTAAGTGAGATAGCGTCCTAAGAGAATAACTAATTAAGAACTCCTATGTTTTACAAATAAAAAGCACATGACAATAAACCTAAATGACCTATAGAAAATTAAGAAGAAGCTATTTTATTCCCTCCAAATTACCGGCCTTGTGTATATACTTACTATTATTAAATGAACCATTTGTATGACCATTTCTAGAGGGTGTAGAAGCAGATAAGTCTGTTAAGGAACAGACTCTTCGTATTGACCCGCCCATATTTATGTGATTATCAACTGAAAAAACGAATTTACATCTACATTAATTTATAAAGTAACAGTATAGAAAGTAATTTTGTTAATAAAAAAAATCCATAATTTGTAGTATGAAAACCAAGGTTTCCGCGAATGAATACTGTAGAGGCTAAGCTAAGCTATCTTAGTACTAAGTTCACAAAATGTTCATAGAAGAATAAATGAGAATATTATCTGTACTTAGGCGTGACAATTTTTTGATAGATTGAATAATTTCTTTGCAATGAATTGTTAAGTTTTGGTTCTCAAGTATTTTTCAACAAATAATTAAAAATTAGTGGATTGAGTTATAAAAATTTAAAAGCGCTTAAGCACAGATAAAGCTCTGCTCCATATACTCTAAAAATTTGATGATTTTATAACAAAGACAAATTGGTTTTGGTTCCCACAAAACTATTTCGACGGAACATAGGGTAGAGTACTAGGAAACTACTCTAGGAATATTTACAAGACTAAAAAATCAAAAATAATGGTTAATACCTGTTAATTGATTGTTGCGAACAGGGAGTTTGGAAGGTGATTTTCCAAAATTTCTGCTTAAATCACAAATACTTTGACTAGTTTTTAAGTTTGAATGATTACCCAACTATAAACATATAAGAAAACAAATAGTAAATTAATAATTATTAATGTTTACAATATAAATAGTATAACATACATTTTGTAAAGTTCTTCTAGTTTCTTCAATTCTTTGTTGAAGTTCATTTCTTTTGCTTTGAGATTCAATGTTGGTGTTTTGTTGTACTGTTGACCCTTTATACTGAGAAGATATACTTCTTTTAGCTAAAAAATAACAAAATATATACACTAAACTATAAAGTTTAGTCTTTTAAAATATATTTAGACATACTTGGATAATTGTTTTTAGGGTCATGGAATTCTTGTTCACCTTCACCAAGCGATTCAAAAGTATTTTTTAAAAACTGTTCACGTTTTTCAATCATATCTAGTCTCTCGGTGCTAAAATACCATAAAATCAAAATTATTTAATTAGTATTAACATTTAACAATTAATTACTAAAACAATCAAACCTTGTAGAAAAAATCATTAAATTGCTCTTATCAGAATTATCACCACTTGGTGTAGAAGTTGCATCATCATCTTCATCATCACTACCTTGGCTACCAGACATTGAGTGGCTAGACAAGTCAGCGACTCCAGGTGATAAAAACCGATCTTTTGGTTTAATTCCCTTCGATTTTCTTTGAGACATTCGAATAGCAGTATCGGAATCTAACTTGGTAATTGTATAATCACTAAGGAAAATTAAATTATTTTATTAGTTAGGTAATTTATTTATTAGTCATAACAATAAATTGAAATTACTTGACAAGATCATCAGTATTTGAAGGATAGTATAAAATAGGATTATTAACTTTTCCATTTGTTGCCCATTCACCCTCAGAATCCTCAATATCTCCATCATGGTCATTACTTTCTAATTCCTATGTTGAATGATTTAAGAGAGTTAATACAAAATGATTACTAAAGTACTTAATTTGAATCTAAGGAAGTTTATTAAAACTAACTTCATTTTTAAAACTGCCTAATGAGCTATCATCAGTCAAATTACGAACACGGTGAATATCTGAAATATGAGAACTTGATTTCTCAGACACTAACTATAAAGAACAAAGTAAATTAAAATTAATAAATTAATAATTTACAATATCTAAATTTTAACTAACTTGTGCTGTTAAATTTTCATCAAAGTCGTTTGATACGAACACTGGTGGTATACGTTTTGTCTAAAAACACAATGAAATCATATAAATAAAAATTATTTCTAGAATATTTAAGATTCATAAAAATTAAATATCTATAATACAAGTGTATAACTGATTACATGTATAGTTTAATACCTTTTTCGGAATAATTAAGGATTCTTTTTGACTTTCGGGATAAATTGATCTACTAGTTTCAGTTCCACTGTCCACTGAGCTATCATCCTTAAAACAATCAGAATCATCTTTGTTGATAGCTAACTGTAAAATACTACTGGGCTCTGATGGATTAGTTGCCCTTTGAGCCCACTGCCCTTTAGGTGCATTAATTCGGTTAATAGAAATATTTAATTGAGCATCCGGTTGAATATAATCAGAAACAACTTGTTTTTTAGCCCATAAGGGTAACTGACCATCTCTATTCAAAATAAATTAAAATGTTTTATTAATAAATGGTTGATACAGTCGTTGCTAGATAAGTTGGCACAGTGGCGTTCATCATTAAGTGTATCTCAAACTATACTAGTCTTTTTCATCAACCGTCCGCCGGCTAGGCAGGCATGGTTCGACTATGACAGTTCTTTATTATAGTTATTGTTATAACTATTAGTATTATTATTATTATATATTTTATAAAAATAAACTATTAACTATGCTTCAACAGAGTATAATAGACAAAAAAAAAACATAAAATACAGAGAATCCCTGGCTTTGCGTTTTTGGGCCGCCGCAGCTGTGCCAAGTCATCTGGCAACAACTGTACTTAATAGATAAATCACTGGTAATCAACAATAATGAATTACAATTAAAATAATGAAATTTTCTTACGCAGGAATGCTAAAAGAGTTGTTTTCTTTATCTTCTACTATTTTATGTACATACGGTGGTACATTTTCATTTTCAATAATAGTGGGTTTGGGTGCTCTAAAAAACGGTTAAACATTAAAAAGTCATATAGTTTATAATTAAAAAATTTAGCTAAATAACTCAATAACTCAATTTTATTCATTTTTAAATACCTTTCAGGCCGAGTTCTTTTGGATAAATTTGTAGCTTTAACCATCTCAGAAGGCATACGCCATACAAATATGCAACCATCTCCACTGGCAGATATCAAATGCTTGCTGTCATTAGTAAACCTTAGCCCAGTTACTAATTCAGAATGTCCATACATGGTAGTCAAACATTCACCAGCAAGATAATCGTATACACACAACGTTTTATCAGTACAACTCGTAGCAATGTATGATCCACTTCTATCTAATACAACCTGTGGAAAAAAACGTTAATATTTTTTCCAAATATTATATCAGATTAAATACCTTAATAAGAGACCCTTCGTCTCCCACAGATCCTTTAAATGTTTTCGTATGCTTTCCTGAAGTGGTGTTGTAAACACGGATATTTCTGTCTTGACAAGCAGTCATAATATGCTTTTGTTTAGGGTCTACTTCCATATCATAAAAAGTAGTTTTTCCAGAAACAGAATGATCATGAATAAAACCGCCTTGATTCTTGTCAGCCGCCTTAAAATTGTAACACGTATTTATTTTCAATCTGAAGACTGAATACACACTTTTAATTTAGTTAAATCACCTCATTAAAGTTTCGAAATATAATTGATTTATCAGCTCCACAAGAAACCATTTGAAGTTTATTCTGTGAGTTTATAAATCGAACTGCCGTTATAGATGAAGAATGATCATCTAATGTTTGAGTGAAGTCATAGCCCTTTGAGTAAAAAGTAAACATGTTTAATTTTTAGATTATTTAATAATAATTTTATTTTTTATTTGATATTGCTACAAATAGAACCATATTTGGTTGTCAATATACATTTATTATTATTATTCTCCATAAATAATTTTAACTAACTTTGTTAACATTAAATACATGAATCAGACGATCTCTAGAAGCTGAAGCAAACAATTTCACCTTATCATTATATTTACTATAATCCAGATATAAAACTTCAGCATCATGTGCTTCGATCAAACAAACTTCTCTTAATGTCTTTAAATCATGTACTCTATTAATTATAAACAGCATTGTAAATTATAAATAAAACATTCTAAAACTAATGTACAAATATGAGTAATTAACAATAGAAATTGATATAATTTACCGAATATTTCCAGAGCGATCGCCTGAAGCAAGATGTACACCATCCGGACTGATTCGTATGGCTCGAACTCCATTTCTTCCATCATATGATGACGAATCAGTTTTATCTACTAAACTCAAATCTGTATTTTTAAGGAAATTTAGTTCTGGATCAATATATATAACTTTTAATAGCTCCTAAAAATAAAACAAAATTTATGTTTGTCATTTAAAGAATATTAAGCAATTGAACAAAAATTGTATTTTCCTTTTTTTTATAATAAAAAATATCTACACATTGCATTATTCATTTGTAAGAATATATTTGGACGCTCCACTTATGGATACACAGATGTCAACCCGATACCTCTATTACTAAGTTTGATGGCTATTACCACTGGACCACACATGTTGACTTAATATAAAATACACTTCTTTATCGTTTCTCTTCTTCTTTCTATGGAATTTCATTAAAAAAAATAAACAGACATGGGTATTGAACTTACATTGCTGTAAATATTCTTCTGGTAAAGTGAACTGTTATCAAAATCTATTTTATCCAAATTCCAAACTCTAATCGTATCATCACTTGAACATGTTATAAATGAATTTTTTGGTACATGTAAATTTTGCTCTAATTCAGGATACATTTCAACACCCCATATACATGCGGAATGAAATAAAAAGGAATTTGACTTCCCCACCTAAAATCACAATTTATTTAATCATTTTTTAAAAAATACAGCTAAATAACATTAATTTAATTCTATTTAAATTATATCAAATCTTACTCTTTTAATATCCTTTACATCCCAGATATATAAACTATGGTCATTGTAAACACATGTAAGCTTTGTATTGACTTCATCGTAAGCTAATGCAATGGCATCTGGGTATTTAGCATTAGACGGAATACTCGCCATATGACTAAATAATAGACTCAATTTTACTAAAGAATAACATTGACATTATTTTATATATGTATATTACCTAATATCATGTCCTTGAGCCACATCCACACCCAAATAGTGAGTCCTTGGTAATGTGGTTACAAACTGTAAAGTTCCAGGATTAAAACATCTCACAATTCCTTCAGCGCAACCAACAAAAATATAATTATTTCCAATTGTCATACAATTGGCACTGGTAGTCTTAAAAAAAATATATAAAATTATAAATAATAATTATATTGATGGTATAATAAATTTAATAAAAATTACTTTTAATTCTACCCATCTGTCTAATAATCTACGATTATTAAACTCGCACAACAATCCTGATTTTGTAATTGCATATGTGTAATCCTTTAGATCTCCACACCCACAACAAACATCAACAAAATCATTATTCCGTTGTTCTCCTAAAATTGCAGAGCGGCCCATCAAAGGTACTGGTTCTTTATACTAAAAAAATAAAAAAAGGAAAAATGAATAAATTATTTTTAATATGAGTGTATTAAACATCTTACCGTTACTGATCTAGAAGACTGCAAATACCAAAACTTGACGTGTCTGTTACCAATAGTTATAAAGTTACCATTATCTGAAAAAGCTATGGCTTTGATTTTTGCAGAAACCTTATTAGAGGCATATTTTAAATTAGATTTCCACTCCCAAACATTTACTATCATGTCATGTTGTGATCCAACAGAGACTAAATACTTTTGGTTTGGTGAAAATGCCTAAAAAAGGATTGGATTATTGTTATATGTGTTTAATATAAAAATGAAGGTGTTGGTATTGGTAATTAAAAAACTAACCACACAATTAATGCCATATTTATGGCCTGGAAATTCTGCTACTTGTGAGTAATCATTCATATCCCAAACTCTTACATTTGATTGATGGCCACATTCTCCAGTACCAAGATATCGGCCATCAGAAGAGAAAGTTAAACACGTTATCGATTTTCTGCAAACATTTGATAGGTGTGTTTCTGTGCCCAAAACTGGATTATGGAAAACCACAGTGCATCTGAAAATATGTATATAAATGTTCATTTAAACAGGACTACTGAAAAATGTAAAAAGAACGATGTAATATATTTATATTCAAACAACTGAAACTCAACAACGTAAATGATACAGCAAAAACTCATAAGGATTCAAAATATCTACACTGTAGATATTTAGTAACAAAATTAAACACCTATATACATATTTATTTTATTTAATGTTAATTTCTTAAACAACCCCTTCAGCTAAGCAAGAATTAAAGCAAAAATGCAGTCAAACTAACTTTACGACTAGTGGGAACCATCTTGATGCCTTTCCCCTTTGCACTATAAGGGTCAGTGAGATATTTAAATTTAAATATAAATGTATAAACTAAAATAAGTATTTATTAAAAGAAATTTTGTGAATTTTTATAATTTTGTATGAGAAACAATACAATTATTTTACTATGTCTTAATATTTGATTATAGATCCACAATAATAATTTTGTTATTTTCATATGGTTTATAATATAAAAGAAAAACCGTTTAAATAATCAGTATAATGATTGTTTTTTTCCGGAATAACTTATAAAAATTAACATTAAAGAATATTAGCTATTTATATTTATAATTATTTACCATATATTATGATAATAAGTATAATAATAATAAAAACTTACCCAGCTGGATAAGCAATTGTTCCAGTATTGCCATCGACATCTAATGAAGAATTGGTGGATACTGTTAGTCCTATTACTCTTTCTAGTTTTATCTAAAATAATACAGTTAATAAAATATGTAATTAATACCTAATATAACAATAACAACTGGCCGTTTTAATATCAAGAGAAAAAAATACTTCTTTAGACTTTAACACTACTCCAGATAATTGAATGATGAATTCTAGTATCATGGAATTAATACAAACAATTAAGATTCAGATGAATGTGATTATTTTAATTGAATCAATTAGCTTATGCTTTTTTTTAATTATTAAGTTGAAGTATTTTTTTTAAAATACTTATACCTGAATTGGTACAATTTTATAGTAAATTAAGGTAAAACGTTAGAGGTGATTAGAAGAAAGAAACATTTATACTAAATATGAGTCAATTCTGATTTTTGATGCTTAGGTCAATACATGGATTGGGGTACATTTTTCTGCTGGACATTTTTCCATTGGCACAATTTCCGAATGATTATTATTCTGAAATTGTGTGAAAACTGTAACGAACATTTTTTTCTATTATTTATTGAATAATAATAATAATTATCACTCGAAGATAAGATAAAATAAGGAGGGCGGTGAACTGGTTTTGGCATACGGAGTTTTTAGTGTAATAATAGTTTCAATACTATTGTCGGAAAAGTACATCCGGACTTGAATTCATTATTGACAGTTGCAGAAAGAGCAGGCTGAAGTCCAATATTTGAGAAACTTGGCTCATAATATCTACTTATAACTGTAAATTACATTATAAAAATTTGCGGAATCTTGTCTATGCGGACAAATGGATGTGGAAAAATATCCATAAACCCAACACATGATAATGTTTCATAGTTTTTGAGAGAATGAATTTTTTGCCTAAAATTATTATATTCTATTGACTTTATAATATTAAAGGTAATAAAAAAATTCATTACATTTCGGTTTACTGAAACCTAAAAATTAAAGTAGTGATTTGTTTTTTATACTCATATGATTTAATTTGGTTACTAACTATATACACATATATTGTTTTTTTGTTAATTTGTTATTTTTTATAACTTACTTTGCTACTCTGCGAGTCACTAGACCGTCCACGTTTTAGTGTAGGTGGTCTGATGAGTTTACTTTGCTGAATTTGTGGCGTAAAGTTATCCATCACACTGACAACCGCGACAACCATAAATTAAATTTTCATTTATTATCAACTCGACATGTGTTTAAAATGTTGAGAATATAATTTTAGTTTTTTGGAAAATACAGTGGTATAAGTCATCGTGTAATAAATCATGATCTGAAATAAAAACCAATATTTTAAAATAAAAACTACTTTTTAACAAAAATAAAATAAATCTTGCCTATATTAATGGATAATATTATAAATTAGCAATAAAAAACTAAGGAAATATTAATAAACCTTTGTCCATTTTAAGGTGCCGTTTACTTAAGATATGCAATCAGACTGAATGTAGATTTAGTATAAATGTACAACTTGAACACTAATTTTGCAATAATAAGAATAATAATATTTTACTCTCAAACTATACAAATATTGTCTCAGATTATTTCAGTGAGTATGTGTTTTTATAAATTACCTAATCTATTACACTTTTTTACTTTTTCCTGGTATAAATAATATTAATTTCTTTAAAAAATTTAATAGCACTAGTCGGGGGAAATTGAGACAAAATTAAAAAATAAAATAAAAATATATTCTGATAATTGGTGGGTAGTTGATACATGTATTTATTTTTTGCATAATTAAACTTGTTGGGTGTGTTTTTATTTTTTTACAATGACAAATAATATCATATCAAGGTTAATCACAATAACGTTAGGATCTTAGAGGTTTTATATGTTTAATCAAATAATAATATAATAATAATAATTTAATTAACATATTAGTTTCAAAAAATGTTTCAATGTAAGATTTAATTTAAAAAATAGCTACTTTCAGTAAAGTAGTTATCACCCACCTAGTGTAGTTATGAAATATTAACAATGTGATAAGCATTAAACTCTTTTTGGAACATAGTACCTAAAAGATAAATAGTAAAAATAGATTAGATAGGTATAATTGTTTAACATTGTCATCAATGTCATCCACACCTATTTAATATTATAAACTACCACTAAATGATAATTAGGATTGTACTTACAGCGCAAATCTAGTGTTCTACGAATATATGATATGTTGACAAACAATGAGATATACGTCGCGATCAAAAAGCAATTATAAATAACATAACAAAAAATAGAAGTAGAAGAAAACTGTAGACCTTCGAATTAATGGAGTTCTAAATAAGGAATTATGTGTGTAGGTAACCGATGTAGGCAGGTTGGTTGTGGCTGATAGTGGTCAAATGTCGAAACCGAATTCCTCGCACCTGTATTACGTTTGACTAATAATTTAATAAAAAAAGATCGGTGGACAGGATTTGCCTGTCGGACGGTAAATAAAACAAAGCTGAACGCGAGACGAAACGTCTAGAGAACTGGCGGATGGAAAACGTAAATGTAAATTATAATACTAAAAAATGATAAACGTGAAAATAATAATGATTAGGAAGGCAACAAAACACTACTGTCGTCCACAAAATAATAATAACATGACGACAAGCGATAATGAATGATAATCGAAGATTACAGCAACGTAGACCGTTGCGCAACGATGGACTGGTCGGTTCGCAAAACTGAGCTAAGCGATTCGCTTCTGAGTCGGCCCACTGTTTGTATCCACCTCTACTGCCGTCTGCCGCCTATTATACCTACACCACGTCAAAACTTTGCGTACTGTATTCGCCACGGTGACTTCAATAACAAATAACAATTCACGGCCAAAACAGATGGCGCATTAAATTTTTTACAATAGCCGATAAGTATTCAAATTAAATTGTATAGAGCAGACGCGCTGTACTTACAGTCCTTTTTTTTTCTAAAAATCGATAATAATACCTATATCTTACATGGGTAGGTATAGTCTGTAATCTATTAGAAAGTAATTTTTACACGATATTGACGTAACTATGTACCTAATGTGATAAATAAAACTTGGGCACGGTTGCGAAAAAACAATAACACCTTATATGCTTACCGCCATTCGTTTTTATTTATATAGTCGTATTAGATGTTTGATTGCGAATTCAATTTATTACCTATAGCTGTAGGTACCAAAAAAGTAAAATTATTTGTTACATTCGCAAGGGTGTGAAACAGAAGCTCATAACTCATAAGCGTAGCTTGAGTATTTAGCCTGGAGAGCCCCTTATAAGTATATAAACGAAGGGGGCGCTTGAAAAGTTTAGCCTTCAAAACGCTTTAAGTAAGTTCCCACGGTATTTAAGTAAAAAAAAATTGCTAGAATACAAAACTGTAAAACATTATTTAAAATTATTTTTAAAAAATAATTTTAAATTTTTTCTATTAGAGTTTCTACTGTCAAACAATTTAAAAGTCAATATATTGTAAAGCCTCATGTAACTATTATACGGCGCGAGACAATATTAAATTGATAAACTGCGCGTGGTTAATTGTTCAATGTTTATATTTTCTTCGTTTCGCTTAGAATAATTATACGAGATATTAAAACAATTATTTGCATTTATAGTATTTTCTATTTGATAACTACGTATACCGTATAGGATTGTACGGATCAATTTTACACGTAATTCAAGTGCAAGAATACATCCAGTTATGACAATCAGAAAACGAGAGGTACCTAATTAAGTCTTGCGCAACGGTCGCTTCTTGAGATAGCGTCAAGATTGACAAGCAGTCAACAGATTTATTATTTCATAAATTATTATTATATATATAATTAATTGTTAAATAACACTAAAGAAATCCTAATGGCGGGTTCCATTAACGGTCATTAAAGGTTTAATAATTTAGTGGCCTTATTTGTAATTCAGAAATTGTTTGTGCAACCCGGCATAAATATATTATTAATATGTATTTACATGAAATATCAGTAAGTGCCTATATTGTATTATCATACAGTATGTAATATCTTATTGACTTTAACGCGTTAAATACAAATATTTGTTAAGCAGTCAAAAAAGAAATTAATATCTTTGTTTACATTAAACATAAAGTTGTTGAAGTGTTTAAGCTTATAGGTAAAAAACTGGATCTAATTTATGATTTCATTCCCATATCAAAAACACTTGCTTAAACGAATATAATGTATATATTCGTTATATTATATTTTTTTTAATAGTAATTATAGTATACACATATTAACCATTACGGTATCGGATGTTATTTTGTTATTAAGGTATCGTACTTCGGATGTTATTTCAATGGTATAGACTCCAATAGTGACGATAGGTATTGATGTACAAAAATTAATAATAATCAGTTGGTACGTTGATTTATGGTGTTTGTTAAATTGTACTCAGTAACGTATTAGGCGCAAACAAGGGTGTTCCGAAGGAAATAAGAGATAAGAGGCGAAACATGTTTTTGGTATTTACTCGCTAGTGAATCATCATTAAATTTTTTTTCAAACAACTTTACCTTCTCACAGTTTTTATCTTTGAATCAAATCTAATCAGATACCATTGTATACATTAGAGCTGAGACCTCGAATCGAATTTTTCTATTATTCGAATAATCGAATAATACTATTCGTATGAAAATAATTCGAATATTCGAATAGTAATCGAATAATTCGAATACTAATCAAATAATTCAAATATTCGGATTTTCGAATATTTTGTCAAATTTATGTTTTTTTGTAATTTATTATACATCTATATAAATTGTTAAAATCTTATTTTTTGTAATAAGTAATAATATTTATTTTGTCAAAAGATTAATTCGTTACAATTATTTTTATTTTGTTAAAAAATTATTAAAAATAGATCAAGGACACCTTAGTTGTCTCTTAATTATTTTTTTTTAAATCTTATTAATCCTGCAAAGAAAATGATAAAATATTCGAAAAATCAAATCGAATATTCGAATAACCCAGCGAATATTCGAATAACGAATATTCGAATTTGTTTTATTCGAATAGTCCCACCACTAGTATACATATAAAATTAAAATATTTTGTTTAACTTAAAATCTGGAAATTTGACAGATTTTACATAATTTAGACGCGTTGAGGTTTGAAACAAGATAAACAATTGGCTTCCTTTGCTTATGTATACTATAGTTAAGCTATTTATCTCCATTTTATAGTTTTACAATTATAGTATAGCCAAACTCATTTCTAGCTTCTGGTGTATAATTTACAGTTGGGGCCATATAGTAACTTGTCTATCATGCCTAAAGAGAAATAAATAACTAGAGTTTGGCTCTCGAACTTAGGTCTATAGAAAATAAAAATAAAAATTACACCCTTCTCTATGCTACGGAGTATTTTTTTATAATAAGTATAATTCTCTTTAAAATGAAAAATATGCAAAACTTGTATACTTATTTTATTATATTCAACAAATGTATCTACCTACTTGTAGTATTAGGTATGTGAATTTATAGCACTGCAGGGCGCAGACTCTGAAGCCGGTACTTGTTGGTCGTACGTTGTGTAGTTGTTAAGTATATAAATATGTTCGATCACAATGAATTATAAATTATTTATTGGATTTTTACTACGACGCGCACCTTACTTGTTTTATGAAAACTATAAAAACAAATACACCTTTGTGACGAATAATAATATTATTATAATTTGCATAGTGCATACATATGCACTTGACTAGTAGAAAAAACAATAGGCCACATATAAATTATATAGCTATATCCGTTTCCGTTTCGCTCAGTTGGTAAATTGAAAATGCATAGTATAAAGTATCTACTCGAGTTGGTTTATATTTTAATATATATTAATGTGGGGCACCAAGCCTCATTTTACCCAAAAGTAGTAACTGGGTTAGGTACCGGGGTCGTTAATACCTTATATCATTAAAGTAAAATATCGTCAGCACTACTGTCAGTCAAATTTTAAAACATTTAATCTATATATTGCTTCCAAAAAAACGTAAATAAAGCTAAATTTACCCCATTCAATTATTTATTAGAATCGTGTGATAAACATTTAAATTTTTACTTTTTTATAGTTTTTAAAATATACTTAATTTACTACTGTTTACTAACATATGTTATACACCTAACCTAATCATAATTACACATATTTGCTTTGTTACCTAACTTAGTATAGTGGTACCTATAATAAAGTTTAAACAATTGGTATATTATTCACAGACATACACTAATTGATTGTTTTTTCAATACTTATCTTCAGAGATTGGCAAAATGGATTACAATCCGTAATCGATTACAGGCGGATTACGGATTACTCGAAATCCACGATTAATAAAAAAAACTAGATTACATTTATTTCAGTAATCCTACATTTTTGGATTAAGGATTAAATTTAATCCAGTAATCCTTAGTTAACGGATTACGGATTACATTATTAATCCAGAATTAAAAAAGTTTGGATTATTTTATTTCAGTAATCCCGAGTTTCGGATTACGGATTACTTTATTAATCCAGTAATCCCTAGTATACGGATTACGGATTACATTATTAATTTAGGATTTTTGTTTTATTCCCATAACCCAAACTTAAAGATTACTGTTTTTTTTCATTCCAGTAATCCAAAACATTGTACTTAAATAATATTTTTTTACAATTAAAATGTATTTAAATCATTTTTTTCTTTTATGCGGAGCTGGGAGGTATTGTTTTTACAATAATGTTTTATTTTTACTAGGAGTAAAACTAAACAGCTGAGCCGATTTCTGCATACAAAAGTCTAATGATTTCAACATTTTAAATGTAAAATGTTAACTTGATTATGGTATGATATCATATTTTTCAGATTATAAAATTAAACAATAATAACAAAATAATTTATTTAAAAAATTTAACAAATTGACAAAAAAGTGTTGTTATATAAAATGTGTTTAAGCTAGATAAACTTGAGCTTTGTTAAAGTACCTACTAGGGCAGAGTATACTAATTAATTATTATTTGTAATCCATAAATCCACAATTTTGAATAACGGATTACTTGGATTAATTAAAAAATAATCCAGTAATCCGGGATTACTGGATTACATGTAATCCATGATGGAATAATTGTAATCCGTATTGGATTATTTGTAATCCATAATTTCGATGTATTGGAATAACGGATTATTTTTAATTCAAGTAATCCGGGATTACTTGGATTAATTATAAAATAATCCAGTAATCCGGGATTAATAATTCTGCCCATCTCTGCTTATCTTTTATACGTCGTCATTGTTTGCGAATATTACACAATCTATAATAATATAAACCCGCTGTAAAATCAGCGTGCATTTTTCAAAAGTTCATCTTTATAATAGGTATAACAATAAAAAATCTTGTGTTTTATATCAGACAAAAGAAGGTTGTCAGATAAGATTAATTCCTCTTGGGACATAATTAAGTCCATCACAGAATTGTTTACTGAAATTTGTAAAAACATGTGTTAACGATGAGTTATCGCCGCAATATACCTAAATAATATAAAAGATAAGGAAGTCTGCTGTTAGCGCTGAAAATAAGTTAACAAATAAAACTTTTTTTGTGGATTAGATTTTTAATAACACTAAATATATTTCCAAAAATAACGCTAATTTACAACTGACTCACACGCATGTGTTGCTTCTGACCTCACACAGCTTGTACAGTTTTGATTTTCTCGACAGCAGTTTCGAATTCAATAGGTTATTGAATTTGATGTTATTTGTTATTGAACCTATTTATTTTTTTTGACTAGTTGTTTATTTTTTAATTTGATATATTTTATTGTCATAAGTTCTTACGGTCTATCGGTAAATTATAATACATTTTTTTAAATATGAACTTTATTTATTTAAATATATTTTCTAAATCTATAAAACCAAACTCTCAATATGTGTACAATGTGCATATTATTATAAGTGCATTTGTGAAACATTTAATCAACTATAAATAATTATAATTTAATAATATAAATTATAATGAAAATACATAATATTATTATTACACTTTTGATTTAAAAAGATTCGATGTATTTAAAATTGACTAATTAAAAGAATGTAATGACTTTATGTTAGATATACTAATACAGGATTATCATCCAAATCAGACGCAAAATTTAATCACTAGGTACTAGTAACTATTAGGTAATGAAGAAACTGGCATAATCAATTGCCTTCTTTGCTATGTCGTCTTCTTACTGCAAAAGATCGTGTTTGTTTTAGGTAACTCTTAAAATTACGATTTTGCGTTTTTCAGCGTATTTGCATTCAACAACGAACACTATAACAGAAAGAGAGCAACCGATTAACCATCCCACCAAGACGGCTCTAAACTGATGGATAGTAAGAGGCGACGGGTCGCCATTTCTGTCAGCCAAAGGCTTTTGTTCGTAGACCCTCTCGAACGTGGCCGGAGGAAGTCTTACTTCAAACACTCTGTTCAGCCAATATCCTATGATGCCACTCTCTACTATCCGTCTGATTACCAGGTTGGTCGATTTCAGGTACGGCGATTGTTTACTAAAGCCGAATCCAATGTAATAGGTATTCACACAAGACCGGGTTGTTCTTAGGTCGTTGAGCAGCGATGGCGGCAAGTCCTGTGCCTCCATGAAGTGTTTGTCTTTAACGCATTTGGTCAGCACCGCGTACTTGCCATTCATTATCCGATTAATACGATCGGCAGTGTTCCGTTCTGGAATGAATTTCTGGCTAAACATAACGTGCCAAGGATCCTGAAAATCAACAATATCAACGGCATAATAATATGTACCTAATTTGGAATATAACAATAGTCTTTATCACCCCGCCTAAAATCTAAAGCCGGGTTCACACGACTCGTCTATTCGCCGAATATTCGGTATTCGTGTATATTCGCCATGTCGTGGGAACGGTGGATTTGTGTATTCGTTATTTGGTATTCGGTATTCGTCCTCTTCCCGCGGATTGTCGGTAAATGCGACACGAGTCAAAGGGATACAAAATGTACTCACTATACATTCGGCAAATAGACGAGTCGTGGGAATGGTATATTCGTCTACTTGCATGAATAGGCGAATATTCGGTATTCGCTATACATTCGGCGAATGGACGAGTCGTGTGAACCCGGCTTAATATATTAAACGAGAGTCAAGGTCATATTGTATATTATAGTTTATTTTTCTAATCTATACCTAAGAACGATTTATAACAATGCCTTCTATTTCAATAGTATTCAATGAGAATGTAGCTTCAATTGTACTGCTAAAATAATCTACGATAAATACGAGTAGATATAATTCGTATTCACTTGTATCCACTTATTGGATGATATTATATTTTAAAAGAATCTGTTAACATTAATTGTTTTAAACTAATTATCGGTTTCGAGTCAGAAGGCCTAATTTGAATTATTGTTGTTATTTAGTTTATCGCTTGTGTTTAATTGTAGCATTATATTAGTGAACTGAGTTTTATTTATTTATTTATTCTTTAGGTTCTCCCTCACAGATTCTACACAGAAAACACTTATACACTAAGCGACACGGTAAATACCCACTAGTACTGTGTATGTGATCCCTCCCACTTCCATTAGCGTATCTATATTAAATTACACACAACATTTATCGGTTAGGTTAATAGATAGCGAGCTGCTGATTAGCCGCTTGCCCGAATAACATCCTCCTTCTTGAAATAGTAGAAACCTATATGGTACCCCTAAATATTCTGCCAATTCGTCTATTGGCACACAAGAAAAAAATAATAATTTCCTCCCACTATATGCGTTACTGCGGGTGATTTATTGACTTTTAAAACTGCATACGTGTTTACTGTTTATAAGTAACAATAGTTAGGATTTAGGAAATATCATATTTGTGTTAAATAAGACATATTAGATTTTAAGTTTGATTAAAAAACATCTAGTTGCGTAGGTGCTTGGTTGTTGTTTATTTCATTTTAATCTATGAGTATTTGTTTTATTTGTTTATGCTACAATAACTATAATCTAGTGTAATTTGACTACTCGTTGCCGTTCACATACAATTATTATGGAGGATAAAGACAAAAAAGACGAATTAGCGGCAAAAGACATTTTCATTTTACTCGGAGTACCCACCCCGGAGAAATTAATTGTCGATTCATTAAGAGATGACGAAGATCATAGTGACAGTGATGAATCGGATAAAGGAGGAATGAAAACCCAGAAAAAAGAGGGCCAGAAAGAAGACGACGATGATTCACAATTTACACCGGACGAAGATGATGCGGTTCAAGTTGAAGTAGATAATATGTTTATATAATACTGGATACAAAACTGATGGCAATTAATTGCTATTATAGTTTATTAATTTTTAAGTCCGTAATATGGTATACCATTAAGTCTAAATATCTTATTAACTAAGTGTATACGAATAATATACAAAAAATGTTATTGAATAATATAATTTATAGTGTGCTGCAAGGTTTTATGGATTGCCTTGCAGATATAGAATACTTATTTACCTTTTCTGGTCATAGTGTTTCGTTAATATAATTTGAATAAATAATAACTTAAAATAAACGATTAATAACAAATTATAGGTAAATTTATTTATGCAAAAATGTTTAGTCTCATTGTATTAATTAAAAGGGAAATTTGTTGATATAGACTACACTTGTAAATATTTCAGTGTGTAATTACCGTTCAGGCGTCATTATATATATATATATATATATATATACAGGGTGACCACGAAAACACTTTACATTTTCAAGAAGGTGAAATAATATTAATTTTTCAAAAAAAATATTTTAACTTATGTAACATGTTAGTGAGTGTACGCCATTTATTTTACTGAAATTTTCGAGAAAAAAAATTATTTAACTTGATATTATGTTTGTGGGTGTAAGCCATTTACTTCAAGTAGCAAAAATGAGGTCAGGAAGGTGACTTGTTCCATGCTCGTCTTCCATGAGGCAATTTTCAGTTTTTTCGAAGAAGTTTTTCCACACTCAATCTAGTGTCTTCTTTGTGATTAGTGCCACCTATGTACGAATTGCCGCTTTCAAATCATCCAAAGAAAATTTCCGTAAAATAAATGGCGTACACTTACAAACATGTTACATAAGTTAAAACATTTTTTTTTGAAAAATTAATATTATTTTGCCTTTTTGAAAACGTAAAGTGTTTTCGTGGTCACCCCGTATAAATATATATAAAGTAAATAAATAATCCATGTACATAATTTATAGTTATCCTAATTATATATGGAACTAGAATTATTAAAATAAATCTCTAATAGCTTAAAATGTCAATACTTTGTAGTTATTCGTAGAAAATTTAAAATGCTTTATTAACATTTTTAATAATTTAAGATAACTAAAAATTCTTATTGTTCTTAAACACATTACACGCTTCTTTAAAATCACAACGATATAGTTAAAATAATAAATTTGTGTGTAGTAACAGGTATAGGTTACTACAAAGACTCCAAAGCCTGGTTGCTCTTTCTCTTTGACCCTTCTTTATAGTATATTCGACAGACGAAAAATAATTGCTAACATTTTACTCTAGGTTATCACTGGACCGCAAGTGATAGACGTCACGTGTCCAGCAGAGTCGGACGACAGTTCGGGGTATAGCGTGACAGTAAGCGAATATGAAGAGAACCGGTGGTATGATCCAACGTCGACTGTTGGCTTGTCGATTAGTGAATACGAAACGACGAAAAAATTATTAAAGGCCATCAGGGTAATCCTGTTGCAGTTGCTTGTGAACTATTATCATTATATAAACGGTAGTATATTTTTTTAAGAGGGGAGACCAAACAAAAACGGTGTCAGCTTTGGCTATTCTCAAAACTCAACGGTTGACCGACGAGTCCTACCAGAACATGTTAATCGCTCAAAATGGTCTCGAGGTGTTGGTCAACATTCTGGAGTGCGAGTATGACGATTGCATGGTGGGTACACTAAGCTTGAGTTATAAAGCCGTTGCTTACACGTCTTAAGCTGCAAGTACTAAATACGGTAAATAGCTGTACGGTGTTTTCAGAAAGTCGCCTTGTCAATTATCCGGGAGATGTCCCAGTTGTACGGTACCAAACACTCGCTATGCAACTTGGGCGCCGTACAGGTACTCATCAACCTGCTGTCTAGCAAGTCGATCGACGTGCAAAATATGAGCGCCGACACTCTAGCAAATATATCCAAAGTGAAAAAAGGCAGAAAACTTATGCGCAAACTGGGTGGCATCCCGATGATGGTAATTTACCGTACCCGCGATACGATGATTTTTTACAGTCACAACGTTGTCCGCATAATTTATACGAAAATCTAGGTGCATTTAATCCATGTACCCGATGATCTACTATCAAATCCTGCGTCTAAGTTGAGCGCTAAACAGAAAAAATCGCTAAGTCTGTTGTGCACCTGCTGTAAAGCTTTACAAACCATTTGCAGGTCGCAGAAGAGCCGGGAAAACATAAGGTGAACGGCTCTCCGCTGTGTTGTCGTTCGTCTAAAAAATTGTTTTTTTTGCACAGGTACTCGGGGTTTATCAAACTGTTGCCGAAATTGTTGGATTCTGTGCACAGTGACGTGCAGATGTCCACGATGGGAGTTATTGTAGAATGCTGTCGGAGTAGACCGAAACTGTGCAATAACGATTACTCCAAGGCAGACACTGTGTATAAACTATCGGTGAAGGAGCTCGGACTGCTACGGGTAGTCATAGGATTTATGGCCAGCGAGAACGTCGTGCAAATCGCCGACGCAGCAGAGACCATATTATGTTTGAGCGAAGACGATCCCGCTATAAGCCATGCACTGTTTAAGAACAACGGTTTGGATATCATGTACAAAATCATTAAAAAATATTAGTAAGTATTATCCATAGTCAGTCACAAATTTTAAATCAACCAATGAAAAAAAACTAAATAAAACAAAGCCAGTACAGTGGGAGGACGGGGCATAGTGAGGGCCGAGCATATTGGGATGGCAGAGGTCACAGGTGTATATGAATTATTAGTTATTACAATTGAAAGTGAAAAAAACACTTTCAAATAAACTCTTCGATGCGAACTTGTAATGATAGAAATACAAATATCGGTAAAAGCATTGTACTTAATGACAATAATATATTTTTTAGTATTTGGGTGGATACGATTAGGGTTGATCGTTTGTCTATAACTGATTTGCTATAGTTACCCATAAATCGTAATGAACAATTAATGAAAATATTTTCAAATACCTGTTGATTGTTGATTTACTCACGCATAAGCAACCCATAAATTTACTTGGTCAAGTGTAATTTTTCCTGTTTTTTTTGGAGGGGGTTTTTCTTTATTAAAAAAAAAAATTGACTACAGATTTTTAAGAAAATTGAACATATTATAGGCCCGTTCTAGATCTAACTTTGGCTGAAGGGGAAGGGGTAAGCTTTTTAAATTTTTGGCCTAATTAAGTACCTTTCAGGTACGATTTTTCATTTTTAAAGGTGCTATACAAAAAAATCGGCTTAACGATTTAACACATTATTATAAAAATAATACTTTCTCAGCTTTACACCGAAGGTAGAAATTAACATTTTTCTTTCTTATAACATCCTTTATCATGTTTTCTATCTATTCCTACTCCACATCAATATTATTTAATTTTCCATCGCTTTTTTTATGATCTAAATTGGGTTTCTCTAATACAACTTCGTATATAATAATTATTAGCTTTAGCCAATTTTATACCACTTTATTTATCAGTTAATAAACATCTTGTTTTCACTATGCCACTTTTATACTAACAATCCAAAGCTTGTCGACAGCGATTTTCCACTTCTCATGTTTCGAAGTGATTTACCAAAAAGTGTTGCCTATTATTTTAAAATATTTTGGTTTTAATCAAAAGGTTTTTCTTGTTAAATTTATCTAAAGGCTCACAAGAAAATATCTTGCCCCGGGTCTCAAATTGTGTAAAAAATGTAAAAAACCGGTTTCATTCTACCGATAATCCTCAAACATGGTACCTATATTTTTATAGTAACACACCACGTTTAATGGTCATCGTCACTGCGATATTGCGAAAGTGCTCGTTAGATCCGAAACTTAGGCAGAACTTGGAGCAAACCGATTGTGGAAAACTAATGTTGTCGCTTCTGTCGTACGAACACGACGACGAAGTGGTCGGAAACGCCATCGGTACACTGTCTGAACTGTGGAAATGTGGATCCATGATGCGTTCAGCGATTATCATACAGGCTGTGCCGGTATACCTGAAGCTACTGCGAAACAGTCAGCATAATGGCGTTCTGATGCAAGTATGTGTGGCACTAGGCAGGGCTGCTGATGAACCTGATTGCATGCAGATGATCGACGAAGCCGAAGGGCTCAGGTGGGTGTTTGTTTTGCTTCCATCCGTGGAAGTGGACGAGTTCCATAAGTACGAATACTTCTATAGCGCCGATGTCATCGTGGCCGCTGCTGACTGTTTGGTCAAATTTATTCAAAATACTCCGGTACGATTCCTTTACAATCATTATTCTATATATTATTATAATATACTTCCTACAAGCTCTAATAGGATAAGTAGGATAGGCGAGATGATAATCTATTATTACCGTTGTTTTGTTTAAAATCACTATAGATTTGTGTATCACTGATTGACTAAACTGTAAATATAGGTTAGTCTAATGTGTATTATTCTCTCATATAAAAAAAACGTCCTATATGACTTAAAATTTGTCTATTTCGTATTTAATCGTAGTTTGAAAATAATTTGTTTAGCAATAAATAATGTCAGTTTTAAAATGACTAAGTTGTTTTACATAACTTTAGAAATCTGCTACACAATAATTACTGATCCGATGTTATTTTTTTTTCACTAAGTTAGAATGAAAATGATAACACTCTAACAAAAAAAAAATTCTAATTTGAATACGTCTTCGATATTTACAATTCAGCGATACCTTGTAGTCATGCGACTTATTTACATTTTAAAGTTCATTATGTTAATATACGTTTATTTTGACAAAATAATTATTCTAACTGGTAAATGGTTACTATAGATCCTAGTTAAGGGTTGGATACACTCCGCTAACTAAAAACATGTCTTCCACAAACATATGAAACGACTAAGTTATTCCAACGCTTTGCAGTCGCATATCAACAAGGTGAAAGGCATGTTTCAAGCTGTCAACGATCTGGTAGACTTGTTAACGCACAAAAACCACAAAGTCTTGTCATCCGTCTGCCGGTTGATAGAAGCCATCGCCGTTTACGGGGAGAGTTTACGGTTCATGACCGACGCCGGTGTTGTAGAAAATCTGACAGCTCTCATGAAACACGTATAACCCTTAAATGTCTAGATAGATAGATATATATATATATATATATGCCTGATATTACGTTGTTTTCTGGTATATTTGATAGACAGATCCTGATTTAAGAGCGAATCTCTGTAGAGCGTTAGGCAAGTGTTGTTACTCAGGATCGAACTCGCGTATATTCGGCAAGCTCAATATCGTAGAACGACTATTCGATTACATACAGACCGAAGACAAACTGGTGAACGAAAGCGTTCCATTAGCACTGGCTGGCCTGTCTGAAGACCCGTTGAATTGTATCAAAATTGACACTTTAGGATTTATGCCGGTTAGTATAGGTCGCACAAACAAAATACGGCGCCTATTATCTATTATTAAAATTACGCACGCCTTAGCAAGCACCATAATAAAAAGTAAATACTGTTCCAGTTTTTGAAAATTGCCGTGGAATCAGATAACAAAGAAACGGCTCTGGCGGCGGCTAATTGTCTGAGAAACGTACGAAAAGTATGCTCAAACATCGGCAAGTACAAAGAGTGTAAAAGACTGAAATGAATTTGTCATGTACATAATTTGTTTTACATTGTTATATTATGTATTTACGATTGTGTAAAATACATTTGTGTACTTCACAGTTAATGTTGCATTCATTTTGGAAGTCTCACTATCGTTAGTTACACCTAATACCCAGTACCTAATAACTTGTTGAATAACCATGACGAAGAAAACAAAATTTTAAATTATTATTGTTGTTATTATTAAGTTTTGATCTTGAGAAAAACAATTGTACAAGTAGCAACCAAACACTTTATAGTTAGTCCTACCTAACATTCAGTTTTAACTAAATGAAATTTTCAGTCAATATTCACTATTCAATTAAATTTATACCCCAATTTTGTTTATCATTTTTTGTTTAACGTTAACAATTTTTCACTCTCCATGCTGCCATGTATTCAGTTAGATAATAGACTAATTACCTACGTCGAATTAACAGATTAGTAGCACCAAACTTTTAACGTAGATGGGAGGAGGCTAGTCATGGTATATTACTTGTAAATTCCAATATATTATATTATATTTCAAAGGGTATAGACTATAGGGTTTCCTATTTAAATTTGCCCAATGCAGAAAAGAACACCCGGTGCCTTAGATTTATTATATTAGAATAGCCCATATATATTTAAGTATTGACAACTTTAAAAAAAACATATTTTATCACAACAGTAAAAAAGATTCTAGCGGCAATCTAGAGTAGTTAATACGAAGTACTGGTTAATATATAATTAATCTAAACGACTCGACCGAATTAAGAGTTGGCTAAATCTACCAATTATTTTTTTGGACTAATTTTATTTTTTTCTGATGTGCTGAGACAATGAACTTTATTCGAGAAATTAAACGTAGAAATCAGTTCAGCAGAAGAATCAATGTTTTTCCCAGGATGACAACAGGAAGTCTCATAGCCTAAATCACAAATAAAGTATTATGTAAACACGTTAAAATTTGTTGAATAGTAAGAACAGTAAGTAACTTGTATGTAGTTATTTGTTAATCTCGTTGCCCGAGATTTAGTCTGCCAGGGTAAAATAATCCCGAAAAGGAATTTTCGAAAAGTACTATGTCAGTTAGGTTCACGGGAGTGTACTCAACAACTTACCCTAAGTTTCATGGCGATCGAATGAACGGTGTAGTAATGCATAAAGGGCAGACAAACAGATAGATAGACATTCATTTTTATATATATAGATAAAGATTATAAACAATATTAAAGTGCATATTCAGTCGACTTTGGGCTATTCTATTGGGATTGGTAACCTCGTGATTAATAGACCAAAAATATTTACCTCTATTTTCAGTAAAAACGGCATGGGTGGTGGGTACGGAAGACCCCAAGAGTAACCCTCATTCACCATTTGTTTAATACTAGTTATAGGTTCAGAGTACTCTGGTGACGTGATGTATGAGTAAAGGACGCTGGAAAACGCTGTAGTCATGACGAACACAAACAAATACCACCAGCTGATCAAATGTCTGATAGGACCCAATCGGTGCGAACGAATCGGGTTGTTAGTCATCAACGTGATTCCGAAGATACAAGATATGGACGACGATAGCGAAGTGAAGACTACAACAAAATTGAAACATATTTTGTGAATTATTTCTAAATGTTACAGTTTGATAGTTTAGAAAAATTTGTGATGATTTTAAACAATATAATACTAATAGAAGACTTCAGCGTTCGAGTTGGTCACTATTTTTCATATAAACTTCTCTAGTAGGTACTCACTATTGACGTGTTTGTAACCAATTTTTTTCTGGACGACTGCAATCATCCATAACGTTACAGTGTTCAGCGTAGCAGAAGCAAACAACAGTACCCACAGGCCCAAAGAGAATGGCTTGAATAGCAAATTCCATTTGTCTTTCAACGGCTTTGGTTTGATCACGAGAAACTTAATGCACATATACGACCAGTAGTCAGTCATGTCCACAAATCTCCTTCGGTAGTATTCGATCCACAAAGAACCGAACGCCACGTCTACTTTTTTGTGATACAACAATTTGGTTGCCCCGCCTGTCAATGTCCCATTGGGCCATACAGTACCCCATTTATCTTTTTCGTCCGTCGAAACCAGCTTAACCGTCAAATTTAACTTCTTGGAGATTTCGAGGAATATTCGACATTCCACTCCATCGCCCAGCTCTAGGTGTAACAAAAATTAACATTAGCTAAGAATAATAATTTAAGTGTTTTCATGATTATTTTTATTGAACAATAATATGACTCAACAGTTCCAGTAGTTCATATGGTATAGTGTTGGAATAAACTTAAAATATAAATAAATACAACAAAAATAAATATGTATTACTTATAAAATAATCTTAATTAAATGGAAAAGCGATCACTTAAGACAAATTCAACGGTGGAGATTATGATGCGAATAGAATAAGAGATAAGGATATTGGATGGGTTTGGGCTATTAATATCCATAGTGGAAAGAAAATTGAAAATAATATTTCTGTGAAAAGATAAAGTGAGTCATATAAAAGACTACTGAAAAAATCACATGGTTTGTTATATAAAGTGCAGTATGAAGAAGAATTTAAGGAGAAACTATAAGTTACGAGGGATAATAGGGCTGATCAGCTGGTCCTATGAGGAAAAGTTGGAAGAAAGGGAGGACCATTTATTTTACTACACCCATAAAGTATTTTTGTGGAAGAGCTGGAAAATGACGGAGTAAGGGATGAGAAGGCCGTGTATATTTTAGGAAAGATGTGGTTAAGGAGATAAGGGAATCAGTAATTTCTTTTACAGCGATCCCAGAGTTACTGGGGATCTAAAGAAACTGTACTACTTTTCCAGTACATTAAATACGAGACACAAGAGATCTAACATTAAAAATGAAAAAAAAAATTGTAGAACTAAGGAATTAGAGGAGAAAGCAAAAAGGCAAGCTTGAGAATTGAAGCAAATAAGGAAATGATCATAGTTAGAGGAGGAAGTAAAACGAAGAGCGTGGAAGATGGTTGTACATTAAGTGGTAAAAGAGGAAGACAAAGGAATAAGTTTTGTAGAAAACGATATACTTTGGTATGGGATGTAGTAAACGCAACTGGTAGAATAAGTTGAAAATGAGCCATCATTAAAAACCTAACCTAACATGTGAGGCTGGGAAGGCAGAGAAAATATAGTGCAAGAAAAGTATGTTAGTGACGTGGGTAGAAGAGATTCAATATTACAAAGCGAGAGTCCTAAAAAAAAATGTAATTATGTGAACGGTTAGAGAAAAAAGTAATGCTCCATAAGAACAATAGCCAGGTAAAAGATTTTAGAATAAGAAGGGATATGGGTAAGAGGGAATAGCACACGGAGGCGAGAATTGGAAGAGTTTTCGCATGTTTTGCAAAGTAAAATAATGAAATGAGACGATATCAAAATGGTTAAGGCATTTTTAAAGAAGGTAGAGGATTAAAACTTACTACTCTTGTCGTGAATTTATCGTTACCTAATCTCTAATTAAAATATGATATCATTGAAAAATAGCTTTCCACCTGTGCAAGTGAACAATCACTTATTTATCAAAATCGTCTTACCTATTTTACCGGTGGCTTTGTTTTCGATGACATTACCAAACAAAGAATTGTTGAACGTCAACAGTTTGATTCGAGTGCCGTGAAAGTTTTTTACCTTCAGTTTTCCATCCATGTCCTACGGTACATAAGAAAAATCAGGAATAAAACTTGTGTTTTTATAATCAAACAATAAATATAGCCCATAACGGTTAAACAACTCAGTAGCATCATTTGGAGGAGGCAGAGTAGGCATTTGTCCTCCCTTATTGATAGCGGGCCTGCTGTCTGGCCAGATATAGGCTTATGTTCGGCCGGATATATGCCGGTGCGGTATGGGCTATCCTACTAAAATACAATTATAAACATTTTATTATCTTCTCAGTCCTTTTATCAATATCTATTTATATTTTAATTACCTATAGTTCAACAGGAAGAGATTGATTGGGCATGTCATGAGGAGAGAGGAATCGGAAGTAGTAAGAATGCTAATATAAAATTAACGTTGGAGGAAAGAAGGAAAGTGAATGACTAAAAAGGAGGTTTTTGAATGCGATTGAGAATGCTAATTCGAGGACTACTAATGTAGTCGAGGATGGTGTCAAGTGAAAGTTTAGGACAAGGGTGGCCGACCCCAAATAGTTGAGATGAAGGCGAAGGACAAGAAGGCTGTCTCCCGTTCACATCAGAGTGTTTATTTGAAAATGATTTTAACACCCAGTCATTGTTTTTGATTAGTTTGCACTCATTTTTGTTTTGGATTTCCGAATGAGCGCTTGGTCAACGCTTTAGTGACTGTAATAATATTAATGTTTTATAACTTCTTTCGTGTTTCTTTCCTCTAATTCGAATTATTTTAATCACAATTGTTCTTTTTGAAATACATAGCCCAAGGCCTAAGCACGGTAGACATTTTAAAGTTAGTAGTACCTTGCTTCAATTTAAATTTAAACTCGCTAAAATATTAATAAAAAACCTTAATTATAAACCAATGTGATGGTATATTCATAATATTTTTTCTGTTTTCAAAATTTTAAACCAAAAACTGAAAACACGCCACTGAGTCGCCACTTGATGAGTCCACATCATTAATATGTATATATTATATATATATATATATATATTTAATATAAAATACATTTTTACAATTTACACTAACTTCTGACATAATAAATAATAAAATTTTATGTATATTTACTATGGGAAATATACTCACATGTCTGAACCACTTGTCTTGTTTAGAAATCGGAACGAATTTCTGGTAGTACATATCCATCCGGTAAATCGTTTCCTTTTTCGGGTTAATGTTTAGTAATATAATATCCTTGTAATTGAAATATTTAGCTGTGTACTGAAAACAGGTTGAATTTGTGTTATCGTCAGTGGTGTGGTGGAGGGTACACGCGGCAGGTACTTGTCCATATGAAACTCACCTACCCAGTTTTTAAGAAATATTTAATTATAATATTTAATATTAGATGACGGTTTGATTGTTATTACTTTTATGGAGAACATTTAAAGGGGCTGCGAAGACCATAGTGCCTTAAGTAAAACTCTAACCGATGTATCCATGAATTTGTTAGGAACTACATCAGTGGATAGCGTGCCTGAAGTTTTTTATAGACTGTTAAAGTAAACTTTATTATATGTATTACTTATATAGAACATTATTATCTTCAAAATAATAAACTTGTTCCACACTAAATGTTTAGGCTCTTGGCTTGATTTTTGACATTTAGCAGCTATTTCTATACTTAATCCTACTTGTATCGGTTGCGGTAAAGTAAAATCGAATTTTTATTAGGGAAAAAGGCGAGCAAAATAAAGTTTTGTATTCAATCTACAACTTTATCATTATTCTTCACTATCCTAAAATGTTTACATAATACAAGTTGTAGCGGAATGTTGTATTACTATCTGCGTATTCTGTTAACTAATCTAAAAGTGTAAACAAGGCATGTCATACAATTTTTAGTTGTTACTTATTTGTACAGAAAACTAGTTAGTACAAGTTACGAGACAAACATTTGTTTGACTTGATTATGCAATTTTAATACACTTCTGTTATCTAAACCAAAACTTACTTGTTTGATAGTACGAATATTAATAATAATAAGCAGAACTAGGGATTTATAACCTATAAGATAATTCTAATTCTAAGGCTTGAAGGGACTTCTTTTCTATATACTAATAAATTCTATACATAAATGAAGTGTTTATAATTAAGAACAATAACAGGGGCGCAATTTCGCTTAAAAAAGTGGACAACTTAAACACATTATAAAGTGTCTTCTCCCATCATTATAATATGTAATTCAGTGTTAGAAACGTACACAATAATGGGGATGTGAATTTAAAAAACATACCTACACCTTCCTTTAATTACGCCAATAAATAATAGTTTTTTTATTTCTAATTAATAATTTGCGTAGACATAATAGGAGTCTGTATGTTTTTCGTTACTAACGAGAATTGTGCCTTGACCACAATAACAGACGATTATAAATTAAATTATTTATGCGACCCGGTCTAAATCTTTACTCCCTCCAATACAAACAGTTAATTTTAAGAAAAATTTCACTACTTTAGTGGTAATGGTCATCAGTATACTCAAATGCAAGAGGAAAACATATCATGGTACCTTATGTGGTAGATAAGAACTGTCAGACGGTATGTGATTTTATACGTTTCGAAGCAGTTGCGTTATGCTTTCGAGTGACGTCTGGCTACAACATGAAACACTATCATGTTGAATTCTGAATTAATCGTGTTATCGTGTTACTTCGGAAACGTATAAGTTGTTATTTTTTTTTTGTTTTACAATCCCTCGGGATTTTCAAAAACTGAATCATACTTAAACACTATAGTGTATAGCAAAAACATTGATATTAACTTATTAATCTATTGACATAGGGACAAACATAATATGTTCTATACGGACCCAGCAACGGTGATACTAGTCATTTAGGACGATAGGATCCGGTACAGGACGCGTCATGATTACGCAAACGCGCGGCGGCAACGGTTGTTTTTCGGCGGACTACGAGCTGATTGAAAAAATCGGCGAGGGTACGTTTTCGGACGTCTGGCGTTGCGTACAGCGGGATGGCGGCCGCGAAATGGCGGCTAAGGTGTTGAAGAAGACATACAAAGGGCCGATGGACGCGGCCGCGTGGGCCACCATACACGAAGTGAACGTGACTAAGTCGATCGACCGGCACCCTTACTTGCTGCTGGTGGAATGCGCGTACCACGAGAGCGACACCGGCTCCTTGGTACTGATCACCGAGTTGATGAAGCGCTCGCTGTACGACGTTATAGAGTCAGAAGGATGCCCGATATCCGACTATCGGATCAAGCTGTACATGTACCAGCTGCTGGAGGGCATCAAGTACCTGCACGAAAACAATATCATCCATCGGGATGTAAAACCGGAAAACATATTACTTAGCACCGGCGACCGGATGCTGAAGATCGGCGATCTGGGGACTGCGTGCGTAGCAGAGAAGGGTAAGCGATACACGGAGTACGTTGCCACGAGGTGGTATAGGTCTCCGGAGTGCCTGTTAACGCGCGGCTGTTATGGCATCAAAATGGACATCTGGGCAGCCGGATGTGTGCTGTTCGAAATGGCCACCAGCCGACCGTTGTTCGACGGCGCAGACGAGGACGATCAGATGTTCAAAATCGACAGGGTGTTGGGCAAACCGGACAGCCGGCTTCTCGAGAAATTCAAGCGATACAAGTCCGAAGTGTTCACCAAACGGTATATGTCCGGAGAGCCGGCCAACGTTGGCGTGGGTCTTCAGTCGTTGTACCAACCTTACCGACCGGGATTTGACCTGATCAAAGAAATGATCGTTTATGACCCGTCCAAACGGTCAACGGCCGAGCGATTGCTCCGGAAGTCCTACTTTTTTGAGATGAAGCACTCCATGTACGAGCAAAGGGTCAGAGACTTCGAAGAGAGATTGAAAAAATCGTCGTCCTATGGTTTTACAGACGGAGAGGTCAAGGTAAGTGATTTCCGACGCCGAATGTCGTCTAGAATCCAATGACCATCCCTGTCTTTATTTAACTGAATTTCTATTATTTATTGAACATTTAATATGTTGAGAATGTCTAAGGACTTACCAAAACATTCTTCTCTTTAAATAATCATTTTTACCTTGTCTCATACCAATGGCGTCAAAAACAAAATCTTCACTCACTTCTATGTCTTTACATCTCTGCCTCAAAATTATTACGCCTAAGAATATACTAATTTCAACCTATACTTCTCAAATCATATCGATCTAGTCTCTTTCGTTTTTCATACTATTATATTTAACCTGGTCACTCTAATCTCCACATATCTATATAGGAACGTTCTCAGGTCATCAACTTAATTTTTCTTTCAAACATGGTATTCAATGTCCAACACTCACTTTCAAACCCAATAATACACCATTATTGTATAACTACAGTTTTATACAAATGTCGTTTCATTCAAATGGTATTTTCTGTTAAACAGCACCACTGTCGGTGGCAAGTTCTCTACCACTTTCTAAAATATCTTTCCTTTGAAATATAAACAACTTTGGATTTTTTTGAAAACTTTTACTTTGCCAATTTATACTTAGCTTGGTAATGTTTTTCTAAGTGAGAGCCAGCAGTACTATTTAATAAGTATAGAAATATAGATTTTAACCAATAACTGTGTACAAAAAACGTCATAAATGCTTATTTTGAATACTAATTATCTTACTCACATTACCTTACTCTTATTCACTAATCATAATCATATCAAGTTCTTATCATCTTTCCATCTCTAATCTTCGAATTACGATATTTAAACTCTAATGCTGGGTTGCGTGAAAATATTAGTAAACCGCTTCTCTTCAATACTAAACTCAAACTCTAATCGACTTATCACAAATTTGGCATCAGTTAACCTTCCTGACACATTCGACACTCAGACGCATTAAAAGAAAATTGTGCCGAGCCCTATTTTATTATATTCATTTAATCATGTTTTTCTAGGTGTTTCTATTGTGAGATTTCCTATCATTTCAATCTCTGTTAACTTATATTTCCAATTAATTTACTTTATTATACTTACTGCACATTTTTTTAGAGATTGTAAAAAAATACAAATATACCCATTATTATTTAAATAAAAACATATTTTGACCTATCACGTTGCTCTAATAAGCGTTTATAGCATCAGTTATGTTTTTTGCAAACCTTCTCTAGTATTATGTTTTAATATTAAACGTACTTATTATGGCATTAATCAAGTAGTTAATCAAGTAGTTACCACTTCCACTAAAAACGTCTGTACTTGACCTCTGACCCTTATTCAGACTTTGCTAAACACCTACTTTCACTGGCAATTGTACTGTTTCACTACATACCCGATTAAAACTCTTTTGCCCCTTCATACTTATAATTTTATATTGTATTATTATTTGTACGCACATTCTTCACATTTTCCGATACTTTTCTTTCTCAAAACTGTACATAACGCATTTCTCACTAGAATCTTCTTAATTAACCGGCTCAAAACCAAAACATATATATTATATACTCTGTGCGTTCCCAGACGAAATTGGCCGCCAAAAGTAGTCGGGTTTCGGTGGACTGGAAAAGCAAACCGCAAGGACCGGACGGTGACAGGAAAACGCGTAAGGAGTTGGCGGACGCCACGAACGTTGACGAAAAGAACTCGATCGGTGACATCCAGAAGCGCATGGACGCCGTTCGAGTTACAAACGCCAGAGACGTGCGGTGGCCTGACAAACATCTGAGAACCGGGAACTTAGCGAAAACCCCGCTGACGATTGCCGCCAAACAATCGATCAAGACGGCCTTGGTGGCCACGTCGAACCGAGTGTCGGTGTCCAAACGGAATAAGGGCGAACTCAGGGACCGGCCACCGTTTAAATGACGAAAGCGTTTTGTTTCTGAACTGAAGAACCTGCAGTATCGCTTTCGTATAACTACAACGCTTAAAAATTAATATCACGTTGTATTCAACGCATTACGTGAAAAAAAATTAGACGTTAATTTCTTGTATAACTGGCCTTTGTACTAGTTATGTACAATTATATCAGCTTATAATAATAATATCTGTGCTGTTTTAATCGGGTAATGTACTATACGGTAATATCTACGACGCCTGACGTTCCCTACTTAATCCTATGGCTAACACTTTTATGTTGTGCTCTTACTTTGTTGTAAGGAATAAACGTTTTGTTGGGCGTGACGACTATCAGTAACATTCGTTCGACCGCGTTCTTCCGGAATTCTTCCAAAGCCTTCCCGGCGTTCGGCCACTGTCCGACAATGGCTACAGACGCCGGACACGATTTCCAGCCGCCAAATCGATTGTTCAGTGTGTAGGCGTCGTCTACGTTTAACTCTACGGTTCGCGGCACGGGGTCGTTGGCTATGGTTTGGTACAGCGTGGCCGACGTGGCGACGGCTGTCGGGTCAGTGTCGTCTACCATTACTCGCAGACACCGCTGCTCGAACCCGAACGTTTTGTCTACGTACACGGACAACGCGGCGGTCGTTAACCCGAAGTGAGCCGTTGGCGATTCGTCCAACGTGGCCACCAACAATCCGTGGACACAATGCGCGACGGTCATAGTACACCACAACAAAACGGCCGTTACGCGCGACATCTCTGGCTTGACCATTGTCTACTTATGAATGTGTTCGCATTAATATTTTAAGTGCAATCGCTGTAATAGTGTCACGTACTCAACTCATAGAGATATAGTATATACATAGGGTCAAAGTGTTAAATAAATACACAATTCAATATGTTTAATATGACAATGTGATATTCCGCGAAAGCAACTTATTTTATTGTGCAATCGTTCACAAAAATTTATGAGAATATGATTAAAAACGTTTTACCGGATAAAGAAGTTTTGTTGTTCAATATTGCATTCTTCACTTTTTTTTTACTATTGTAGTATTATGTTTTACTTATAAATGTACTTAAGGATAAGAAAAAGTAATATAAATATTGCACACGTAGAAGTAACGTTTCAGAAGTACCACAAGTCAAAAATTAATGTTTTGAGAAAATTGTTAAGTAAGCTTAACAAAAAGAACTGACACAACTAATAACTTTTTCAAATCATACAAAAATTTCAAATAAATTGGATTCTGTCATTGAGTACTTGAGCTTTATTTAAGTTTGGGCCCATTTTTTTTAAATATTTTATTATTCTAGAATGTTTAATGTAATAAAATTAAGTTTAATTTTTGCAGGACTTAAGCTATTTTGGCGCTATGCGACTCATATATACATTTTACCACTTTTTTTAATGTTGAACAATAGTATACAATGTATATTAATGAAAGTGGAACACAAATCTCAAATATATATTATAATTACGTCAGTTTACAAATCTTTAAGTCATCAAATATTAACTCACCATGATACATTCTAGTGGTGATATGGTGTAATTTATTAACTTTAGGTCTGTAGGAAAAATAACAGTTTGCGCTGCCATGTATTTGACACTAACAAAAGTATAAGAATATGTGTTATTAATAAGTACAAAAATTCATCTTTACCAGGTTGTCTAATGCCGTGAAAAAAGTTACGTAACAAGAGATTTGTGATGATTAATAGGAGTAGCCAACTACATTTCTGGGATTAATAATAAGTCACTTTTAAAAATTACCCATTTTCGCTTGTATAACATATTTGAGCGCACGGTAGTGCGCTATGCCAAGTTTCAGCAATGCTAGTTTATCTTTACATGAACCAATTTACCCAGTTTTTCTAACTCACAGGCCACATATCTCTGTTCCTTCTTAAGATAAGCTTTTGAATTTTAAAACATAGCTTAAGCTCGAGTAGCTTAGGACACTGCAAAACAAATAGCTCCACACACACGTTATTTTATTCAAAAAACCCGCCTTGCGCGGATTAATTTTACAAAGGCTGTAATCAAAACTAAGAAACCAAATTTTCAAATAATATAAACAACAACATTGTCTGTATTCTACCATCGCTTTTTTTAAAATATTTTAACCAGTTAATGAATAATTAATTAATTAAGAAAGGACATTTTTAAAAATGATAGAGCGTTGGTTGTATGTATTAGGTATATCGATAAAATACGGTTGATGGAACACAGATCATTTTGTCATAAATAATATGTATGAATTTCTTTCCTGAACTATATATGAAGCCTGAGAAAAATTAATCCGCGTAAAACTCAACTCAACAGAATTTTGTTTTTAATCGCTGTCAAGAATGCTGTTATAGTCCGAAAAATAATTTAACTACTAAAAAAGAGTGCTAACTATTGAACTCATAGTTACACATCACAGTTTAACCTTTAAGATTTTGTAAAAATTGCCTATACTTTACTCCTTAAAAATGGGCGGTGTGGCGTCCTCTTAATAGTAAGCTTTTTCGGAAAGGGGAGAATTTCAAAGTTTAAATTGTTGGTACTGACTCACTCTCTCACTCTCTCATCATCAAAATTATAAAACACTTCCCGTGTAGGTAGAAACGTGAAATTTGGTACAAAGGTAATACTCATAGTGAAATTAAAGGGAAAAATCTGAAAGTTGCAATTTTCTCAAAATTATGCAACTTTAGGGAGTGAAGTTCTAAATGCATGAAGTGACGCGCATGAAATTTTGCTTGATTAGATTAGCACGGGTTTTTATTAAATAATCGCAGATTCTTGCACCGTTGAAACAAACATTCTATTTAAAACAGTGTTGCAATATGGAAATAAGCAATTATTTGTAATTGATAGTAAATACTTATCAAACATATTGTTTTCGTAATTTAATTTAATTTTATTTTATTCATCGGTCATCAAATACAGAATATTTTAATAATCGTAATAATATAATTTTTTAATTCAGTTTATATACCGTATACCCGTGTTAATCTTGGTCGGAGAATTCGTTCGTTCGTTCTAAGTATAAAAATTAGCAAGCGCCGCTTTTATAAGAAAATATTGTAATAGAGCAAAATCTTTGAGACGGCCGCGTGAATCAAACAAAAGCCAGTAAAAGGAATGATATCTCCAACAAAAACCTAACCTAACCTAACTGACTTTTTTGGGAGGGGGTCTAGAACTTGGTCCTTATTTTCACTGTTAGGTTTTTGTTGGGTTCACATTAAACAATGCATAATGTATAATATATTATGTGTTAGTAATGTATTGTCGCATCTCTTTTCATTGTGTGTATACACAACAAAAAAATGATAAAAATATAGAATATACATAAAAAATAATATTGTAACAACTTATAGCTAAATTTTGTGTTACAAAGTCTATTAAACATAATTAAATATCATTTAATAGATATTTGGTTTCATTAAACAAAATAAATATAAAATGTACAGTATCAAAATTAATAATAGTAATACAAAATTAAGTGTAGAGACTTAGGTACAAAACATATCACATAAAAACATGTTACGGACTTCAGTTATAAAATAGGTATTACATCATCTAGAATCAATACTTTGAATAAAATCGTATGTAAATACATTTGGCCCTATATAACCACCGTGTCCCGTTATTCCTTTGAAATAAATGCCAACGCCCGATAACGGAGTGCCCGGGTAAGGTGCCACGTTCTGTGCATCAATGAAAGGTAGAGTTGTCTGAGAAACATCACGGTCTTTTGATGAATATGTAAACTTGAGGAACTTGTTTGATGAAATGTACGGTTTAGACGGAGTAGTTACTTTAATGGGCAAGTCTGAATTACTTATATCAATTTCCGTCCTGGCCAATAAAAAAAAGTATAAGATCTTTCAAATACCTACATATGTGTATGTACTTTGTATGTATATATACCTTCGAGCTTTAGAATACTCGGTATTATCGTTTCCAATCCAATAGCTCTTCTCATTAGGCTTAATTAGTTCACCAGTTGCAAAATCTAAAGGCGTGATGCGTGCTTCGATATTTAGATGTGATCCAATCCTTCTAAATTTAACACCTTTCAACAGACATATTGTGAGTGTTGGTCGTTAACCAAACGAGTTGGAAAAGTGGAAGTTACTAAAATAACTTGAAGATTAGATGGATATGTGAAAGAATTATGAGTTTGATAAAATAAGGAATAAGTATAAAGTAGTTTTTAAGGTGTGCTAATTGCAAACAAATTTAAAAAAAACGATTGAGAAACAAAACAGTAAAAGAGATATTGCAGTAGTGAGATTAAGAAGTACATCGAACAAAAAGTGAGTGGATGCTATAGATAAGGATATGCAAAAGGTATGAAGTCCACAGAGAAATATTGACAGATATAAAAAAAACTTGTTAGTTTGGGAAGAAGAGTGGGCGCTAGAGAAGTATAAACACTTTATTCTTTAATAACTCTTAAAGCTCCCTCAGAATTTCGATAAATATTCAAAACGTCACTTGAGGATTATACCTGATTGGTTGCTGACATTTTTTAAGAGCCTGAAGGCAATTAGAAGGATTTGCGCTTTCCCTCTCTATTTAATGGTAATGCTTACTCATGTATTGGATAAGGCGAAGGCGAATAAGATACCATAAAAACTGTAATATGATTTACCTGTAACGATCATATTTTTGGGAGCAACCACGTTATCCAGATCAATTGCTCGGGAAGTCCAGGACAAAGTATGGTAGTCGACGCCATCTCGAAGAGATTCATTCGTGTAAGAGAAACCAGGACCAGGTAGGTCAACCCAACGTCTTGATAATTCGTGTATATAACCGCGAGGGCCTAGCAGGCCTTCTTCTACTTGTAAATGGAACATCCGGTTAGACTTTCTGAACCTCACGCCGGTGACGACTCTTTATGAGGAAATCAAAATCAGTATTTAAAAGATTTACCGGCATAAAAACTTGTACTTGTTTTGTGATATATCGGACAACGAGGGTCTGAGACTGAAATAGTGGTCGGACATGCCGTCGGATGTATGACATAAGCAAAAACAGTAAGAACACGGCACTACTAGGAATTTTCGCCAGCTGTCAACTTTGCTCCAAACGCCTTGACATCCCTTTGAGTTATCTCCCAATACTGTACCGCGTTTGTACTGAATATATTCGTAGCGTCTATTGCTACCATGCGGCTAAACATTAAACAAAAAACTAATTACTGAAAACTACCGATTTGTAAACCTTGTGTAAATAATATGTATACTATAACGTACCGATTGACATATCCTCATATCGGAATCGATAAACTCACAATTTAACAGGAGTCCGTTGCATTTGTTTTGTCTGGCACAAAACTCTTTCGGCGAACACTGTTTGACTTCGGCGACATCGTAATATTTGCAGGTACGCAAACAGCTCTGTTTGCTGTTCATATTAATTTCGTTTTCGATAAACCCCTGGAAATACCCGTTTAAGTATCAAGTATAACTATAATTAATAATTGCAGATCTCAAGAAAAGCATTCAAAAATAATGTTTCTATGGTAAGACGGATTTAGAGTTTTAGCGCCCCAAGGCTATCAGAGTTTTGTCGCTCTCTCAAAAATTAAGAGAATACTTTATATTTGCATAAGGAAAAATGTTTATAATTGTTCATAACAATTTCATATAGATTATTTATGGATATATTGGGGGGGGGGAAATGTTTTCTTAATTTTAAAGTTAATTGTCACTTTTCATTTGTCTGAATATGTCACCTAAGACTAGCCTAAAACTAAATCTGTCTCTGTTCCGTGCCTATTAACAATTTGTACAAGGTTTGCTTTACACGATATCGGATTAATTAAAAATAAAATAATTTCATTTAATTATCTATATTATTTTGCTGATGTTTGAATAAGTACCTAGCTAAATATTTCTAACACAAATACATTATTTTATTCAATAATTAATTAATTATCATTTTTAACAACCTGCATGATGGGAGCGACTTCCAAATAAGTTTCATCTTTAACGTGTATGAACGGGTCACATCTCCAATAATCATTACTTGATGCTTCTATGGATAGTTTTAATGCGTTTAATTGTTCGTCCATCATTTCTTTAAACTTCTTTAACTGAGTGTGACTTTCGAATATGAAGCTGCCTTAAAACGAAATTACTATAATAATAATTTTATAAAATAATTTTATGTTCGTAGTGTTATTATACAAAGAGATCTAATTTTTTCATCCCCTCCCAAATAAATTATTTTTATATATACATTTAATACCTATACGGCAACGTATATATGTTTTATTAACTTTATAAATTAAAAATAATTTACTGACATGTTTGACTGATCGATAACCAGTTTTGGATAGTTTTTTAACGTTATTAAACTTTAAAAGTTAGGACGGGAGGGGAAGTGTTGTGAGTAATGCACACAGATAAAAATAATACTACACTCCATCCATCCTCCCATCGGCCATCCTATGCTTTAAAATTGAATAACGTTAAACATGATTCAGCAAGTATTTACGTTACTACTTAAGTTTCAGCAATTGAAAAAGATTGTAAAAAATGTGATCACATTGCATAAAAACACTACGGAAAAAATTCAATACCTACTGATTAAACCCTATGAGATATTGAGTGGGTCGTTTTAAAAGTATCACTCTGTATATTCATTTTATAGTTAACTACCCATTAAAAATCATTTGATGGATAATATTAAATGTGTGTGATGAAAAATTTAATCTTTAGGTATAGCTACCTTCTTTGTGTATATGCAATAGTAACCACGAAAACTGCATTAATGTCGTTCCTTTTAGTTGAACTAGAAGTAACGGTGTATATAAATTGAACAAAAGCTGCCGAACAGATTGTTTTTGATCACAGAGCATAATCGTGTTTTCCTGTAAAAAAACAATGTTAATTAATGTCAAAATTAAGATGTAAATATGTATCTACGACCCACTTTAACGGTAAACGGCAACTTTTAAATCTAGATAGGCTTACATATACGCATAAGGACTATGATATTTGTATATATTATTATTATTATAAAATTCTTCATAATTTAATATTCGCCTTCGCCGAATTCTTAACGCCCCACCTTATATCTCAAACGAAACAATACCCAACGACCTTCACCTTCTTACTGTAAAACAAACTGCTATCTCTCGATATAAACTCTTTCACAATCGTCTCCAAAATTATCCAAACCCTCTTATTAAAAATCTGTCTTCCCTCACAATCCCAAATAACCCTCCTCGTCGCCTAAAAATATCATGGTGTAGAAGATCTTCTTCAATAATAAATAATAAGTGTAAATATGACTGTAATTGTAATTTTTCCAAAAATGTAACATAAATGTGATTGTAATTTAGTTTAAGTACTCATGTCAATAGGACATATAACTATGTGACCTCAAATCTGACTCCATATTTTTGCGAGTAAACAATAATCTAACGTTATATTATTGTTATACATGCTTAAAGCTATCAGTTGGTAATATTAAGCATCAGCCGATGTTTTCATGTTCAAGCAACAGTTGAACGAATATTCCCACTACTTTTTTATCGTTAGACTCGTATAACGAATCGATTTATAACTTCAGTATATTCAATATTGCCAAGCGGTCGCCATGTGAAATTGTACGTTCGTGTGGTCATTGACGGACACTTGTGTATTATCGGCGGGCGCTACATTTTCACTCGGCCTGTCGTTATGGTGGATCATAATCCCTTTGATGGGTTTCAGCGGCGGATACGTGGCAGCCGGGTCATTGGCTGCTATCATTCAATCATATTTTTACGGAGGAGCGACAGGAGGCCTATTTTCTCTTTTGCAAACTCTATCAGCCGCCGGATTTGGACCCGCAGCTCTCGGTTCTACAGCCCTTTCTATCCTTGTTGGTTCCGGTTGTGTCATCAAAAGTTGTTTTGATTAACCCTAATTTGGAGCAACAATGTCATGCACACAACAACATTTGTCAGTAAATTCAAATTCATATATATATTGTTATAATATATAACGTTCACCGCATTTTTTACTCACTGTTGTATAAGTTGTAAATATTATATTTTTAAATAATCCGTATCCTATTCCTAAATAGACAGGATGAATAGACGGGTGGCCGGTGTAACTAGTTATAACATTTACTACAAATTACTCGCTACTTGACTAAAATACTAACATAGTCAATAGTGTGAACTAGGCTAAATATACCCTCAGTCTAGTGTTCAGTCCCCAAACATGGGTCCAGATATAAAAAAATATTCTTGAAAATGTGTCTAAGAGTGTATATTGTCCCCGCTAACTCTTATCATTATCGAATTATTAGTATTAAAGAGAAATTTTCAAATTTAACGATTTTGTTTAATTTCTTCTGAATACAATTGTAATGATTTTTCAATAACAGTACCACATTGTGTGTGCAGTGTGCACACTTCTCAAACTACTAAAGAGTAAAACAAAGTCATGAGATCATAACATGACTCGATTTAACCCTCAAACGAAAGCGCCATATGGATGTAAACTTTGAGTTTAATTTCCTCGAAATCAATAAACTGCCACTTATACCCGTTGTATTCTAGGCGCCTCAATTATACTATGAGTACATGAAGTGTACAGTGTACCCAGCGGTTAATTTAAATCGATATGACTTACCATTGATTCTTTAATTATGTTAAATATGCGGCCTTGTTTTTGCAAATTGTTGTATTTTTGCTTTGAAACAATATATGTGTGGATTTTCAATATTTCTTTTGGCGGAGATCCAACGGAATAATGTAGCATTGGTTCGGCAAATTTTTTTAAAGTATACGATGAATACATTTGATTTGCATTAGTTTGGCCGGAATGTCTACCAACACGTATGTACTCTGTAAATACACATTGAATATTGATATAAATTTAGACTGGAAGAAAAACGTACGGACGTATCTAAATTTGATGGCACACAACTATGTATATTATTTAGTATTCTGTTATTTCAAGCTATATGCAGACATAGAAGGGATTGAGAGAGTCTAGCCCCCTCCAAAAATATGTCTGTAACCCCCCTTCAAATTAATTTGCAATTATCGTATTTTAGTATTTGCGAGTGCCCTTCAACGACTGTGGCTTACTGAAATATTCATCCGTGATCCGATAAAGTGAAGTTAATGAATATTATTATTAATTTATATCAAATTTACAATTCTTCGACTATGATTTTTTAACAAAAAAAAAATACTGATTAGCGCAGACAGTATACATTTTTTAAATTGTTAAATAACAGTTTATTACACATTTTACAAACATAATTATTATTTTAAGGTTTGATCAAAATAAATTTAAAAATCCATACCTAAGATGGATTTTGAATTTTATAATTTTTTCCTTTAGTTATTTAATATTTAAATTTCACTTATACATAATATTTTTATTTAACCTAATGAAATTATTATAAATCGATAAATTGTAAGTACGATTAGTAAGTACAATTTAATTTAATGTAAAATCTTCTCAGCTTTTTGAAAAAAACATTAGAAGAATTTTCATATTTTGGGCAACAAAAAAAAAAACAAATTTTTAGATTATAAACTGTTAATAACTTTCTGTTACGCAAAAAAAGTTACAAATTGCGGCCCGAGTTTATGAGAGAGGCGTATGAGTTGCGACCACATAATAATTAGCACTTGGCTGAGTTATATCTAAAAAATGTGTTTTTTGATCAAGTTTTTAATTAGTATTTTATTGGCTAATGAGCCAATTAATGTTCTGTCGTCAATATTTTTAGTTTTTTCACATTACTGGGTTGGCAAAAATTAAAAAAAGAATTAAAAATGTTAACTGGTCGATAACCAGCCATGGATAATTATTTTTATTGTTATGAAAGATTAAAGGTAAGGACGGGAAGAGTGAAATGTTGTATTATTTTTTTCTGTGCGTATTATACAACCGCACTTCTCCTCCCGTCCTATATTTTATACTCTAATAACTTTATAAGTAAAGAGATCACATAATACGCGAAAAATAAAAATGTAAAAACTAATTAAACCCTATAAGATATTGAGTGGATCTCCGACATCGTAATCAACACCTCTGGCCGCAACTCACCTACAGTGGATTCACTCACCCATAGAAACTGATTATGGTCAAAGTGTAATTTTTCCCTCTTTCTTCGTTTTTCTTTCATAAAAAAAAAATTTTGAAATTTTTTAGAAAATTGTTTATAATATAGCTCCATTCTAGATCTACTTTCGTTCTAATTATCAGACTTCAATCCCTACAAAGGCGAACTAAAAAAAATGTTTTCACCCGTTCTAGGGGTAAGGTTTTATCGTATTTGTTTGGGTTGTCAACGTTTATCGGTAGTACTATGTTTAAAGAATATTCTATACAAATTTGGAACTAACTGGACTATTTTTAAAAAGTTATGGATCACCGTAACTTTAAGTTGAAAAATATGTACATTTTTTGGTGTTATCCTCCATTTTGAAGGGGAGGGATTGAATTTTTTTAATTATTGTCCAATAATGTAGCTTAGAGGTACGAATTCTGATCTATAGAGTTGCTACACGAAGAAATCGCTTCAGTGGCTTTGAAGATATCGTAGGTACAACAAAAAAAAACACATCATTGTAAAAAAAATACCTTCTCAGGTACGCATCGCAGCTTAAAAAATATCTAAAAACACAAATCTATAAAATTGTGTACATTATAATATAATGTTTGCACATGTTTCAAGATGTTTATTATGTGTAATGTGTTTGAACTTTGATTTATTCATATTGACCATAATTCGTTTGCTATTTGATTTATCTACAACTGTTTGCTTTGATAAGTTGAATCAGTTATTTTATTATTTATTATTTGTGCTTACATTTCATTTAATGTGTTTATTGACTTTGTGTCGACGAACAGTGTCAAGTGAGTGGATAAATGTCCGCTCACCAAAAAAAACTAGAAAATGATTTACCGATTCTTTAAATTTTAACATGCTAAAATTTAATCAAATATTTTATGTAGCATTTATTAAGAAACTTATCAGAAAATAGTTATAATATTGTAAATTTTCGTTTTGTTATTTTTAATATTATAATATAATAGCAGTTAAACGAGCAACATAGAACCTCTAGCACGCAACACGTTGGCAAAGCCAATATGTAAGTGTAACTTAATTAAAAATGTAAATAATTTAACTAACATTTTAATTTACATTTTAATGTAAAAATTTCAACCAATTATTTCTTAAAACTGTTCTTATAAAATCAAATCTCAATTACTGTCTTGTCGATATTTTTAGATTTTTCAGTCGTTTTTTTTCGTCACATCCTTAGATCTCGTATGTTTAACTTTTTTATGAAGCTTAAAAAGAAAGTTCTTTTTCTTGTTTAAAATTAATTTTTCTGTTTAATCATTACGTGTTTTGGATTATTGTTAACTATTCTGGTTAATGTTCAGAAACAAGTGATACTATATCTAAATTGTTTATTTATGAAACGTGACGTCAAATTTTTCTCAAATCAATCTTAAAAAAGTATGTTTTGTGGCTGTAGATGGATCGTTTTTGAAAAGTGACAAATTCTTATAATAGTTCAATTTTTATGGCGGTTTAAACATTTAGCTCACTTCATAATAGTACTGAACAAATTGAAATTTGTATAAAAACATATTATTAATAATATATATTAGTAAATAGTTTCGGCTTACATCACTCTAATTGCATACATATTTAAATATATCAATATATTGATATATTGATCCTATTTATGATTTAATAATAGTACTTATGAAAGAGACTAAGTGGAACAAAAATTAATAATCCACGATATCTTCAAACCTGCTAAACCGATTTCTTCGTAAAGCAATTCTACAGGTGATCAGAATTTGTAGGGCCCTGCGGAAGGAACACTTTATTGGACAACAATTTAAAAAGTTCACCCCTTCTTAAAAATGAAAAAAAAAGGAAAAAACACCTAAGAAATTTACATAGTATTATCAATATACGTTGACAAACAAAAAAACAAAAACCATAAAAGGTGTGAAACCCTTTTCTTTATTTCACTTTTTCGAGTGTAGTTTTAGATCTTAACGTGGTGAATAGGACAGTAGACTACGAATTTGTGGTCAAACCATGATTTTTATGCGCCAACTGCCGTGACATAATCCGGTCCCGTTGACGCTTCCGGCCTCTAAGACACCAAACCCTGATTCTGACAAAGTATTGAGAGATAAAACAAATCTTACCTTCCATGATCTTATAAGCGTTCTCAATTGATCTGACAGACATCATGAGATCGCTGATTTGGATACCATTTAATATTCCGTCCGCGGTGTTTTGCAACTTCTTCACGCCGTCCAACACCGTAGCGGTAACGTCGTCGGTTTCCAGTTTCTGAGGTGCATCGATTTTATCGACGATATAGCCATAGAGGCGCAACGCCGTACTTTCCAAATGTTTGATGGGCCAAGCCACAGTCGCGTTGTCTTTGCCGATGTCGTCTTGTTCGTCTATCGAATCCATCAAGTCCCAAGTTTCGGTAATGAGATCAAGGACTTGTTTGGTGATCACAAACGCGTTGTCCGGCACCGTCAACTCTGTCCCTCCGGTGTTCATCGATACCCATGTCAGGGCAACGGCGAAACATAGTAGTGTTTTATTGAAAAGCAACATTTCCAAGCTAATCCAACATGTACACTGCGTTATGCAGCATAGCGTATCGGCTGTAGAAACGTCATCATATAGGCGTTATCGGAAATCTCCGAACTCGGTATGCAGAGGAAAGCAAATAATTAAGCTATTAATTTAATTACCGATGTTCACGTGAACATTATTATTTGTTAGTAAATAGTTGTATATATATATCAATAAAAATAAGTGATCGATTGCTTAAACGCAGGTCAGAATGTAACAACAACAACAATACATTTATAACGCCGGCACCTATATCTCGTTATCGACGAACAAACTGATTATGACGTCGTCGATCGTTTCGAAGTAATACTACGGCATGCCAGCATATAAGTATATAACATACGGCCAGGTAGTATGTTAATATATTAATTTATGTTAAACAATTTCACGTTAAGTATTTACTAGAGAGTATTAGTTAAACATTTTCCCGATGCAACAAATTTTATTGATCTGCAGTCAAAAATAAAAAAAATATATTATCAACCCTATCCCTTAGGAGTCAAAGGAACCTACTCTCAAAATAATACAAAAGAATGGGTTTCCAAAAGGATTAGACTACAACAATCGCATTAAACGACAAGCCTAGGTACTTGTTTTATTATAGTGCATGGTTAAGGTATAATAAGTGAACTCGCGAAAAAAAAATCATAAATATTAAACGATATGGAAATTGAATAAATAATTAAAATATATATTAAAATATATTATATACATTATATTACATTATATTAAAATATATGTAAATAATGACTATTACCTTCATTACTAGAAATTATTTGTATGTCTGAGGTGAAATGGTTATAGGTCAATTTGTACAGTCCGATTTTATTGAAAGTTTATTCAAACAACAATTTTTAAATTAAAACTACATGGGTATAGGTTAACATTTTTTTTATAAAAATGTACAGATCACAGTATTACAGTTAAAAATTACAAGTGTCATATTATAGAATTTTAAAATTTGTAATTAGTTAATTTTTTTTCTTTATGTGGGTTACATAAATTAAATAATTACTACTAACATAAGTTCTGTTATAGTATAAATTGAGAGGTATCTCACGTGAACATTTTTATAATGTTTTAAGTAATATTTTACACTCTTTGAATTTTTTTTCGTTTTCTCTGTACAACTTTGCTGATACAAGTTTTTGAATTTGTCTTTATTTAAACTGGCATAAATGAAAGAATTAACCCTGAATCTGGACTCCAATAAAAACTCTATTTATTACATTGATTATGCTTAACTGTAAATCTACTATGATTTTTTCAGGCTTAAGTGGAAGTTATACATTCAATTTTCCAGCGTTAAAACATACCTAAACAAAATGCGTTTTACTCGCTTTGAGATGATTTTAGAGCAAAAATACCTAAAACAAAAACGAAGATGATAAGATATTGGAGACAATGTCCTGATATCCTTTTTTTTTATAAACCTAATATTTATTTAAGATCTCAATTTTTTTTACTTTTTTTAAATATCTATAACTTTTTTTTACGTTATTAATTTTAAAATTAGAGATGACATTTGAATTTATAATAAGTGTTTTTTTCTCTAAAACAACCATGAACCTAGTAAAATACATTCTGTGTAGCTGTGTAGTATTTCCGGAGTTCACTACGTCAGTTTGCTTTGCATTTACCAACGAAAACATTCATTGTCTAAATATGTCTTTAATTTGTAAAAAATATAATTTTAAAGTGTTTGTTATATTATTTAAAATTAAATTTAGCAAGCCGGCTTTTTAATCATTTGGTCCATAACAATCAAAAATGTAGAAAATGTTTTATAAAAACTAGATAACCTACTGTAGTATAATATTAAATAAAAATCTAGTAATGATAATGAAAATATCTAATTATTATAATGATATCCTTGTTTTTCAAATACTTATTATCAATAATTAAATCAATGATTAATCAAGGAAGTTTCATAACATTTTTGTACTGTTATTGTGTCTAAAAAAAAAATGTTCGCAATACTTTGTTTGTGTAATATTATTATATTATCATTTTTGCACTTAACAACACTTATTGTTACATTAACAATGATTTATTTGCATCAATCAATTACACTTAAATGTTTTATCATAATAACTTTTTTTTTTAATAGCCCTTGTTTGTTATCGATCGTTATAAATAGTATGCAAAATAAATAGGTACTTAACGTGCCATTTTTAACGTATTGTTCAATAAGTTATATGTATCGGCTTATTGAAAATATATTATTCAATTACAAATAAATAATAACTATCCAACCTTTCTCGTAAAGGTATTACATAGGTATAGGCATAAAACATATTACCTATGAATGCCCAATTCGCACTTATTTGGGGCCCACAACCGATTGCTTTACGATTCCTACTACATTTGTTCAGTAGCTGGAGGGATAGGATATTCGAATCTAATTCTAATGTAAATTATATTAGATGCATTTTTAATACAGAAGACATTTATGTACTAAGATATACTAAAATTATATTGTCATCATCATCATCATGTAGCTTAACGGGCCATCAAGGCCCAATGCTCCCATCATGAGATGGTTTCTTGACAAATTCGCTTCCGGAGAGGGGGATGGGATGGCGGTTCCTTTTCACCGGACGATTGCTCGCCCAGCAAACGGAGCGCCTGTGACCGAGTGTCGAACCGGCGACAGTGAGCGCTAACACACTGCCGCCTAACCCACTCGGCCGCTCCTCCTCCTTAAAATTATATTGTATGCTTCTGAAAAAGAATTCCCTACTTCCGTTTTCGTATTCTTATAAGAGTTGTCTCTAAACATTTTATTTATACCGTCATCATTATGTACTCTCTGATCATTTCTATAAGCAGTACCTGACACACAAATTAATCAGAAAAATGTTAAACACTGTTTACTTCTTTGTCTATTGAACGTATTCCAACTGACCTCTAGTCACCGGATAAAATATCATGGTTTCTAAACGGTCTGATAAACCTGACCTCTGATTATTGAATTCATTGAAAAGAGATTGAACTCTAAACGTTCAGTATGCAACAAAAAAAAATACTCATTACCGCATACTTGAATAGACGGTGATTTCTGAGCAAATCGATTTATCATAGTATTTTGTAGGTGGTCGGTTACGACGAATCAAATTATAGGTTTTGAAAGTGTTTGTGCGAGAGAGATGAATTTTTTTAGTTACGATGCGGAAATGAGAAAGTATATTATTGGTTTTATAATGATTTTATTTTTTTTCAACTGGACACGCGATCATTTTTTTAACCGGCGAACTTCTAATATCAGTTGGTTCATCGACTCGAAATTGAACAACGAAGGTACTTAATAGTCAGTTCATATGGGAAAAATATAATATTGACATACAGTGAAACTCCCATTAACGGTCACCTCCGCGTAACAGTCTTTTTTTTGTCCCATCAAGTGTTATGGGGAAAATATAATACCTCTATATGGTGGACATTCAAAATAAAGGTCACAACTTACAAGTTAATTTAATTCCAAAGTCCTCTTAAGAAATATTTTAACTAGATTAAATTGTTTGTAAATTATTCTTTATCATACATTTATCGTTAATAGTTAGCCCTAATATGATATATTTTTCAATAATATAACTCCATTTCCTTTAATTTTTTTGTATTTGTCAAGTTATTTGTCGAGTTTGTCTCAGCTTTATTGTTTCAGTATATGACTGGTATTTTGTTGAATAAAATTAGTAATCCTTTAGACAACTATTCCGCGATCATATTAGGTGAAATACCCAAGAAAAGTTAATTGATCGACATTTTAACAGGTCTTTTTACAAACGTTTTTGAAGCAATAATACAATTTTAATTTGTGTTAGCTTATCTCATATTATAGGAATAATATGTCGATTTAATGAAAGCAATATACATATTTTGTTTACTATAAAATCTATGTTAAAACTTAAAACTAACGGCACGATGAATTTATTTATTTAAACTACTATTTTATTTTTCAATTTATTGGATGGTTACAATATAAAAAATACACAGGACAACTAAATATCACATTATCATGTTTAAAAATATTATATCAGTATTTTATTTTTTTAATCATGGTATAAACCAAATGCCCATATAATAACATTTTTACTTTAGGATAAAACTATGTCCTGTTCCTATGCATTATCTTATCATTTTAATTTTATCCATGTTGAAATAACTAGGCTTCTCTGACTTTAAATTAAAGGAATCACATTACATCCGGATTGATTTTTGGCTAGGGCCGGGTTTTGCTATATGTAAAATCCGCAACTTGTCAAGATGTGTTTTTGTAAAAATAATATTAATTTAAAAAAAGCCAGTTTAGTGGGGTCGAGATATCTAATACAGTAAAAATCTGAGGAACAAAACATTCTGAATGCATGCTACATAATATTTATAACTGGCAGCCCGTGTACCCGTCTTCGCCCGGGTTAATGTCAACATTAAAGTAGAAAAAGCTGTAAGAATTCTTATAAATAATAACCAGTACTATTTCAAGTACCATGACAACCATACTAGTATTTTTATATTATAATTTATACAAATTTATTTCCTATATTTTACAAAATAATTTTTTTAATAATTTAGATAATTTTGCAAATGTACCTTCTCTTGTTTTAAAAGATTTGTACGATTTTCATAATGCCATGCCGTAAATACATTAGGTTATCACATAATTCACTTAAATATAAGATCTATAAGTAAACATTTTTCTGAATTTTTATTAATGATAAATGAAAGTGTAAACTCAATAGATTGTTTAGCATTAACCCAAACTTGGCTTCTTAGTAGTGTTATTAATTTTAAAATAGACAATTTTAATGTTATTAAGACGAACGGTAATTTATTTAACCAAAACAGTGGAATAGTTGTAGGTATATAAGTCAACGATTAAGCTGAAATATTTATTGATAATTGTAACTGATTACATATTAAAATTGGTAATTGCGTCAAATACGAAATAATTGCTTTGTACAGAAGCCCTAGCAATAATTTTAATGACTTTATTTTTAATATAAAACTAATTTTATCTAAGAATAGTTCGAACAATATAATCATTATAGAAGACTTAAATATTAATAACTCTCAAAACAGTAATGACAATAATAAGGTAGAGTATTTAAATTGCATGGCTGAATTATGTTTTTATCAATGTAATTCTAATTACACCATAGTTTCAAATAACTTCCTAAATTGGCACTTGCTAATTAGGATAATGTCTTAAATGAGTTAAATGTTGATAAATGTGCTAATAATTTACATAGTACTATTACATAATATTGTATTTCTGAATCAACATTATCTCATAAAAACTATTTTCCTTGTTCTAATAAACGAAGATTAAAACCTTGGATTTCTATTTTCTACTGGTCTTTAATTGGTATCTATTAGAAAGCGAGATAAATTAAGTCTAAAAGCTAAAAAATCATCCCCTGATTCTAAATTAGTTAAGTATTACAAACATTAGGAAATAGATTATGTTCATTAATAAGGTTTGCAAAAAAAATATATTATAAAAATGTAATTAATCAAAATGTGACGGATACTAAAAAACTATGGGAAACTATTGGTGAAATATTTGATAGAAATAAGAAAAAGAAACATGTAAGTAATATTATTAAATTTGACAATAAAATTGTTAATATCTCTGGGGAGCCAACATTATGTGCAAATATTTTTAATGAGTATTTTCCAAAGGTAGGTGCTAATATTGCTCTATCAATTAAAACTATGAATTATAAAGATGCTATGAATAAACATATATTAGACTACAACGCTAATTTAAACACCTTGATGTTTAGTGACTTTGCAGTGATTGAAGTAATTGACACAATTTTAAAACTAAAGGGTGGAGTAGTGTAAAGTTCCAGCAGTCTGTGGCCTTTGGATACTTTAACACACAAGTGGTTGAAGAAGGAAGATGGATGTTTCGTAAATAAAGTTAATACTTTTAATTAAAATAGGTAATACATGTATTCCAAAATACGCATTAAGTTGATACACAGATAATAAAATAAGTGCTTGTTGCAGGTATTGTCATAATACGCGGCCAAGACACTTCTGAGGGTGCTGTGGTGAAACGGCTGGTATTTACGCAAAATGTCCATCCGGTTCGGTGGAAGGAGTTCTTCGAATCCCCGCCTCGGTGACCTTTTCTCAGTTGTGCAAGCGTTAATCCGGGTTGTTGGTGAATGGCCAAGTTGTCTTCTGCTAAGTGCCTAACATTGTCGGATAGATACAATTTATGTGTTTGTTTGTGCGTTTTTACAATCTTTCAGTTGTACAAAATATATAATTTGCATAAATAAATTGGCTTTTACAATTTATAATTTGGATTTTACAATTTATGACGTTGTTTACATTTTGGTTTTATACAAAGTGTACACATATTAGTATTCAAGGAGAAATCGGTCATGACGTAAACATGGCTGGACTTAGTACCCCATTACATCTTCCTCCCCTAAAAAAGATGTTTTGTACATTTATGGATAAAACATCTTTGACAATACTTAATTACATGTCTGTGTATCATTACATATCGTTAAAATTACAATATAAAAGTTATACATTATATGGTTATACATTTGGATACATAGTGAATATATATAGGTTAATAGTTAGTTTTACATATAGTTTAGTTTTTTAAAACATTCAAAATTAGTGGTTAGTATATAG